TGGTCCATAGAATTAAAATGGGATGGCTTAAGTGGAGGAGTGCATTTGGGGTACTGTGTGATATATGAGTACCCACTAGACTAAAGGAAAATTCTATAAAATGACTATTAGACTAACGATGTTGTATGAGACGAAATATTGGATAACTAAGAAACAACATGTGCATAAGATGAGTTTTGTTAAGATGAGAATGCTAAAGCGGATGTATGGCAAGATTAGACAAGACAGAGTTAGAAATGAGTATATTCGTGAATGTGTAGAATAAGTACTAATAGAAGATAAGTTGAGATATAATAGATTGAGATGGTTTGGTCATGTACAACGGAGACCTACAAGCAGTGGTGAAAAGATACGACACAATGACGATAGATGGAAGTGTTAGGGAAAGGGGAAGACCTAGATTGATGTGGGCAGTGCATTAAATAGAAATATGAATCTCCTTAATTTAACTAACGGTAGATGGAAGTGTCAGGGAAAGGGGGAGACCTAGATTGATGTGGGCAGTGCAATAAAAATAGAGATATAAATCTCCTTAATTTAATTAACCAAATGGTCGTTGATAGATTTGAGTGGAAAAGAAGAATTCATGTAGCCGACTCAATTTGATGGGACTTACGGCTTGATTTTGGTTTGGTTTAGTTTGATTTATCTGTTTAATTTTTTAATCTTTTCAATTCAAATTTCCCTTATCTATTTAAATATTTGTCCAAATAAAATTCTATCTATCCAAATTTATTATTTGTTCAAATTTTTTTACTATCTTTTTAGTTTTTTCCCTTATCTATTCAAATATCTGACCAAATTTGAACATCTATTCAATTTTTGTTTCTATTTGTTCAAATCTTTCTTCTTTCTCCCTATTTGTTGCAATTTCTTACATCATTATCAACAAACAATAACAATTATTCGCCAAAAAAAACAAAAAAAACAAAAAACAAAAAGTATGCAACAACTACCGCAACAAAAAAAATCAACAAAACCTATCTATTTCAATCTCTTTCGCCATAAAAAAAAAATAAAATAATTAATTAACAACACATTAGCTCACAAAACCATGTCTATAAACCCAAGAAATTTATGTAAAAATACAGGTTATTGTGCCAAAATATTAGCAAACCTTATGTACTTTGTATATAAATTACCAACTACAAGAGAACAGCAATTGAAAATTTTCAATACAAATCATTTGAGCTCTCAGCTACAACTAAAACCACAACAATCAATCATCTATTAACTTGTGACCAAAGCATTGAGAATAAAAAAAAAAAATTAATCCAAGACAGTGAATTAGAACTATTCAGATTAAAAATCAATTAATAGAACTTGCCCATAGTTAAGCTAAAGCATTCAATCCAAAAAAACACACACATATAGAAGTAATTCAAAATGTATTAAAACAGAAACCCTAACCAAAAACTAAAGCACAATTTAGAAAATCTAGTGTCTAATTAGCTTAAATTGTACCAAAAAATAGCATTGACCAACACACATAGCAACCAAATCAAGGATAAAGAGAGATGTAAATTGAGGATTAAGAGAGAGAGAGAAAACTGAGATCTGCATATATATATATGTGTGTGTGTGTGCGTGTGTGTGTGTATGTATGTGAGTGTCAATGTGTGTGTGTGTATGTTTGTCGATGAGTTTTGTGTCTTAGATATTAGATTTTCGCACTAGAAAAACGACATTTCGTGCTCAGATCCAAGATTTGTGCGGTCGACAATCTCAGATCTGTATCAACGATTGCGGTAGCGGTGGCAGTGGTGGTGGCAGTGGTGTTGTCGAAGAAAATGCTCCCTACCGGAGCAACAACGGTTGGATCGAGGCAGAGGAACTGTCCATTGCTGGTGAAGTTATGAAAAACTTTAGGGTTTTGGATCTGTAATACCGTGAGAGGTACCGATTGAACGTTAAAGACTCATAAACTCTAAGAGAGGACATAGTTTCATTTCAGATTTAGCTGACGAGGACGAGAACGAAGATATTGTAGTCGTTAATCAGAAGAGTTTAGGCGATGAGGCCACGAATCCATAGTGACAGATCAGATGAAGTGATGTGAACTCTAAGACCAATGACACCGATATGGATGGCGACAGAAGTTGTGGTCCGTCAGCGGTGGTCACACGGCAGCGAAAAATCAAGGAGCGACGGTGAAGCTAAGACCTAGACAGGTTAGTCAACGGAAGAGAGAGAGAGAGAGAGAGAGAGAGGAGTAAGATGGTGTTTGTTTTGAGGGATTGAGGGGTGTGATTGGACTATTAGTCCATCCAGGCTAATAGTCCATTGTTTGATTCAAAATTTTGGCACCAGACTATTAGTCCTAAATCCATTGGACTATTGTGTCCCATGGGGGGGTGGGACACTAATGGAGGGATAAGGGGCGATATGGAATTAGGTGGTTAAATGACTATTTTGACCCTCTACTATTTAATTATGTATTATATTAAGTAAAATTGAATAAAATTTAAATGTCTCAATAAAAAAATAAAATAATTTTATGTAATTTTTATTGATGTTTTATTTATTTAATTTTTTAAAATAATTTTTTATAGATATTTTATTGATGTTTTATTTTAAAATTTTGTTTATATTTTATTTAATTTCATTATTTAAAATTTTAATAGATGTTTTATTTAATTTCATTATTTAATTATTATTATTTTTTAAAATAAATTTATTTAAAATTTTAATTAAAAAAATAACACATATTTTTATTGATATTTAATTTATTTATTTATTAAGAAATAAATTTATTTAATTGTGTAAAAAATAAAATAAAATAAATTTTTATTTAATCTAGTTAAAAATAATTAAAATATTAAAGATACGTTCAATATTGCTATTACTTAGTAAATAATAGAAAAGGGTAAAATAGCAATTTGAACATTTATCCTTCTCCATAATATCCCAAACAAACATAGGATTCATATCCTATCCAACCAAATAGTCTTTTCCTGACATCTAATCACATAACTACACAAACATGGGATACAAATCCAGTCCAGCCAAATAATTCGGGGACAATGTATCCCAGAACTAACAGTCCGGTAGATTCAAATCCCTCTTTATCCAGTTCGTCTAAATAAACACACCATAAATGGATTAGTTTGGTTTAACCGTGTATATCATATACATGATAACTTGGTCATTTTGCAGGAGTTTGTTCGTATGGACAAAATATTTTAATGTTTAAATTTTTGGTCAAACAAAATTTAAATTTGAATTTATGAACTGAGTGCCCTATTTATTGTTATAACATAGTTATCTTAACCATTTTTACACAATTGTGAGATAAAAACTAAATCCCATATATTGTTAATTTGTTATATGGTACACATTATTTGTTTCATAAGAATTGTTTAGTTTAATTTATATGAGTCGTTTATTAAAAAAATTATAAAATATGTTTCAAATTGTTTAGCGGTAAGGGCATAAATTTGGCCCGGTCCTTGTTGGGCTATGAGGGCTTCTATCAGAATTTGGGTTGGGTCGAGCCGGGCCATGGGTCAGAAAACCAAGCCAGGCTTAGAGGGTATTTGGACCTCCGGCGGGCTAGGTCAATGGGCCTTTTGGTGTGGGCCTAACCATTGTTTAAAATTTTTTTCAATAAAATTTTATTTTTTCACTAAAAATGACATCGAGCCTCAAGCAGGTCGAGCCTTGAGTGGGCCATGCAGATTGGGCTCCAAAACAAGCGGCCAAGGTGTAGAGTCTCAAGTTGGGCTTGGGCTTGACCGGGCCTAATTGGGCCGGGCCCATCGTGGCCACAGCTTTGAGCGACCCATGATTTTACACCCCCCTTTAGCGTGCATTTTCTACTTATAATTTATTAAAGAAAAATAATTTAGATAAATTTAAAAAGTTCAATTATCTAAAAATTGAGAGAATAATATTTTTGACTTGGGACGTAAGAGTGTACTCCCTTCAAGTCATTTGTGGGCAATTGGTCTCAAGATTAGTCGATATATACATAATTGATCCACCAGATTATCGGGAATATATATGTATAATTGTGACTTCTAATTTTTAGGGGTATTTACATACAAATCTTAATTTATAAACTTATATTCCATTAAGTCCTAATTAAGATTTTTTGAACCTTTAAATCCTATTAAATTTTTAGGACTTTGCTACAAACCCCCACTGGGGTTCGACCCCCAGTGAGGTGGCAGCGTGCCATTCGTCCAAATCACAAAAAAAAAAAAAAAAAAAAAACAGTTTTTTTTTTTGACCAATGGGAAGCCACCGTACATGACCCCCAATGAACCCCACTGGGGTCTTAGGCATTTTTGAAATTTTGAATAGTTAAAACTCTCTCAAATAATGATTGTTTATCATTTATGATTATTTATAAAGGAACATGATGATTTGATATTTATTTTAATTTTTAAAACTTTAAAACATCAACTTTCAAATTGAAAAAACTAAAAAATAAGAAATAAAAAAAAATTATGTGCAAAAAATTTTTTTTTGAAAAAATTAAATTATTTTTTTATGCAAAACTGAAAATTTTGTGTCTATAAAGGAGTATGATGATGAAACATTGATGTGTAAAACTAGAAAAAAAAAAAATTTAAATGAAAAAATGATAATGTTCTTATTTTTAAAATTGGAGAAACTGATAATGTTCTTAATTTTATTAAATAGTTAAATCAAATTAGTAAGTAGAATGACAAAAGTGTTTAATCTCATATTTTGTTTTTTTTCATCAGTTAGTGAAATAATTATCTAAAACATTACCATTTAAAATTGATAGTATTCTTAATTTTTAAAAAAAATTAATAATATTATCAATTTTATTAAATAGAATTTACTGATTCAAAAAAACTTAAATGACCATCATAATATTTGTAAATAAGATTTTTAAATAATTAAGTTTGAAGAGGTAAGGAATTGATGGCGTTCACAGCACAGTTTGTCTTCAACTGTGGTACGTGAGTTGGTGAACATTTGTTTCCCTATAAATACAAGGGGTACGAGTTCATTTTTTTTTCAAGCCTTCTATACGTGTTTCTTTCGTTCCAAACAACCCCTTATTACCAAACCTTTTCAATCGTCACCAAAATACCAACCCCTAACTCTCGCCGGAAAAGTCACTATGCCGTCAGTTTCGAGCCAAACAGTCTGCGTCACCGGTGCCGGAGGCTTCATAGCTTCATGGATTGTCAAACTTCTTCTGGAAAAAGGCTATTTTGTCAGAGGAACTGTCAGAAATCCAGGCAAAGAGCTTTAATTTTTCAAGTTTATATTCAGATAGAGAGTTATTATGTATGTGTGTGTGTGTTGTTAATTGGGTGTATTTATGGTTGCAGATGATCCAAAGAACTCTCATTTGAGAGAGCTTGAAGGAGCAAAGGAGAGATTAACTCTATGCAGAGCTGATCTTCTTGATTTCGAGAGTTTACGCGAAGCAATTAATGGGTGTGATGGTGTTTTCCACACTGCTTGCCCTGTTACTGATAACCCAGTAAGTTTTTTTGTTTAATTTTTCGCCAACCCTCTATTTGGTTGGAGAGAAAATGGAGGGAAAAAAGTGCCAATTAGAATTCAAAATATTGATTTCTATCTGGGTTTTACTTTTTTTGGAAAAAGATATGCATCTAACAGAGAAAGATCATCCCAACTAAACCCAAATCACTTTGCCATCCCAAAACCATAATTGATACAATGAGGTGGCGCTCGTTGAATTCCAAATACTGGGAAATTTTTCTAAAGGCAGAAAATTATGGTTACTTGATTTTTCCTTTATTTTCTCAGCAACCAAACATTTTTTGTGACATGGGATTGATGGGAATGGTGTTAAAAATTTTGAAGGAAGAAATGGTGGAGCCGGCAGTGAATGGAACAAAGAATGTGATAATTGCAGCAGCCGAAGCCAAGGTTCGGCGCGTGGTGTTCACATCATCAATTGGTGCAGTGACCATGGATCCTAAACGGGGACCTGACACCATTGTCGATGAGAGCTGCTGGAGTGATCTTGAGTTTTGCAAGAACACTAAGGTTTATAATTATTCTACATTGATTTCTATCTGTGCAATTTGGCTTGTAAAAATAATATCTGCATATGGAAATTTGCTAGAAAAAGAACTAGTTTGGTAATACAATGCCCAATCAATTGAGGAATTTTTGGGTGTGGGGATTAGATTTGACAATGCCCAATCAATTGAGGAATCTTTTCATATGCATTTGTGAGTGGTGAAAGGTACCACATGACAGTGTCACGTGGCATCCTCCTAGTATGCAATAATTTTTCCAATTTGGGAGCATTGTCACACCTGTTTATTTTAATCATAGCCTTCTTGAGTTATCTTGTACAAATATTGAAAACTAATATGTCACAATTGCACTAAAAATGATGAGCTTTATGTTGATGCATGACATGGAAATGTAGAATTGGTATTGCTATGGGAAGGCAGTGGGGGAGCAGGCAGCGACGGATGTTGCGAAGGAGAAAGGGGTGGACCTAGTGGTGGTAAATCCGGTATTGGTGCTTGGACCGTTGTTGCAATCCACCGTCAATGCTAGCATTATTCATATTCTCAAGTACCTGAATGGCTCGACAAAGACTTACGCCAACTTGGTCCAAGCCTACGTGCATGTCAGGGATGTGGCACTGGCACACATACTAGTCTACGAGACTCCTTCCGCCTCCGGCAGGTACCTTTGTGCTGAGAGCGTGCTTCACCGAGGTGATGTGGTTGAAATTCTAGCTAAGTTCTTTCCAGAGTATCCCATTCCTCTAAAGTAAGTTCAGTGAACCATTATTTGCACTTAAATTTTACTTCTCAAGTGCTAAACAAAAGATTTTCCTTGCATTTTGATGGTTCTCACATAGGGGATTCGTACATAGCAATTAACAAATAACTTGTAGTTTTAACCTATGTAGCTAGTATTTAAAATTCTTGAAAAATTCCTCTATTTGTTGGAAACAATGCCTTTAGTGGCAGTCTTTTGAATAAGTTGTGAGGCCTAATGTTTGACCTTCTCATTGGACCATATGAGTTGAAAATTAATATGACATGACTAGTTTGTCACATTTTAAGATGCCAAAATTGTTGAAGAAGTCCCTTCTTATAATACCTACATCCATACATACCCATTTTTCAAAGATCTATTTAATGGACTTTGTTTTGAAGGATTTGAAATGTAACCCTAAATAAGCTTTACCTTAACAAAAGTTGAGCCCTAAAAAACTCCCTAGGAGACAGTTGGAAGTACCAATTACAATGCAAATAGGGGAAACAACTAGAAACATCCTTGAAACTACAAGTACACACTACCTTATGTACATTATATATGAAAAAAAAAAAAAACCTATATTAAAGTAGCGAGCTTAGAAAATTTGAAAAGTATCTATAAAATGTGGGATAAGCATGTTGGGAAGGTAAAGTTCGCATATTGTTTGTGGTGGGTTTGTGGGTGACCAACTTTGACAAACAATATATAATCATTAGCAGGCACATTTGAACCTCATTGATTGACCCCACAAATATATAAACAAATTGTGTACCTTAAGAGTTCTCACCTATCAACAAGTCATCGTCATACTAGCAACCATATTGATGTATCTAACTACCATATGTTTCTATCATAAGGACTCGACAAATAGTCGAATGAGATACCTTTTTGGTCTTTGTCATGTTAAACAATTATATTTTCTAGAAATGACAGAAAATTATGGGGATGATGGGTCTCCATGCTAGTGCTTTAGAGTGTAGCATTGAGGACAAAATGGGTCCCAATTTTGATTGGTATCAAACTAGTGCTTAGCCTACAAGACTTTTGTAATTTAGCACATATCGGACGCAACAAAGAGTTGAAACTAAGACGTCGTGGTTTTAAATTCGTTCCAAGGAAAAAAAAAAAATAAAACCCTTTTTAACACTGGATTATCCGTGTGGGTTGGATAATGTGTTCCTACAAAAAAAAAAAAAAAAATTAAAATTGGAAAATTTTAGATAGTGGGGCACCAAGGATCGTGCTGATATCGTTTGGCCAAAGTAGTTGGAAGCAGCTCAAAGAGCATCATTGCTTATCATAACTAGTTTTTTAGTTTTTAAAAGTTTTGCTTTGTGATTAGAATATATGGTTATGACTTGAATAGCATTATAATTATAATCTCTTTCAATAATAGAAAATATGATTCCCACCCATTGTCATCCATTCAAATTTCTATTTAGTTGATTACAATTACCATTTGGATCTTTATATGGATCAGTTACTCATGCCTTTCAATCTAATTATTGTATTTGAGCTTTATTGAGGTGAGCTTGAGCTATATATTCATGAACAGTTTGATTTATTTGCATCCCTAACTCATAACAGGATATTGGTTGAAGAACACTTTTGTTGTTTTAGAAAATAAAATGTGTGGGGATGTTTGTATTTTGGGTAAATGCAGGTGCAAGGATGAAACAAAGCCAAGGGTCAAACGATACAAAATCTCGAATCAAAAGCTGAAGGACTTGGGTTTGGAATTCACACCGGTGAAACAATCCCTGTACGAGACAGTGAAGAACCTGCAAGAGAAGGGTCACCTCCCAGTAGCTCTGCAACACGATGAATCTGTTATTCGTATTCAGTCTTGAGTGTTATCTTATGCTGTTGCTGCCATGAAGTGAGAGCACTAGTTCAAGCCTTTAATACAATAAAAATTGTAGCCACAGAGAATACTAAATCAAGAATGAGGATTTCTTTCTGTTTTGTATCAATGCCATGATCCTGTACTTGATTATGTGCTTTCAAGTTTAATCATATATATAAATATAATGTATGGAAGGTTGTGGTGTTTATTTTTTGGTATTGTTCTTCTCATAAAAAACTCTGCCTGTATTGTCTTTAGTGTTTTATTTTTTTGCATAACAGGTCTCAAACCCGGAAAAGGAAGAGAATGGTGTGTCAGTTAGCTTGACAGTCACCATGTATAAATCCAATCCTTCGAATATGAAATGAATAATAGCCAACTTTACCTGATTGGGACACACAATTTAGTTTGAGAAAATTGTTTATTATTTTCAGAAAATTGTGCCTAATTTAAAAATATGGATCAAATTTATTTTTTTATTTTTATTTTTTTTTTTAAAAAGTTATAGGCTGTTTTATTAAAATAAAAGTAAACAATCTACCGAATTAGAAATCCAACAAAGATCAAACTTATTCTAGTTTGATGGATATCTCACTAAATTTATGTCTACACCATAAATTCAAATTATGAAGCTGAATATTTTTTCAGTGGGCAAATCAAACTAATCAAACCAATCAACCTTGAGATTTAAAGAAAATATAATAAATCTCACAAATTTAGCATAATTATATTAACTTTTTTTTCAAGTGAAACTAAAAGGATTAAAACTAATGCAAGTAGTTTTCAAGTTCAGAGATAAACATGGCCAACATATATATTTCAAATGTAAGAGAAATGTCTATCATTTTTCAATCCATACTAATAATAAATTGTTGATTAAAAAAAAAAAAGAAGCTGAATGTTATAGGAATTAAAACATTAAAGGAAATCAATTTAATTAGGACAAATTACGCTAACTGTCTTTATAGTTTGGGGCTTGCATCACTTTAGTTCATAACATTTCAATTGTAACATATTTGATCCTAAATTTTAAATTTAGTTCTAAATAAGGACAATTGAAGATATCATTGCTCAATTTCAAGGGTAAAGTTATCAATTTGATAAAATATAAACTAATTTGATAAAAATAAATTTCAAAAAAATATTTTTGAATTTTTAAAAATAATTTCTACACACCAAAGAAAAAATTATATAAGATTGATAAGTCTTTTAGACATTTATTTATTTATTTATTTTACCAAATTAATTTTTATTATGTGTTTAAATGATAATCATGTAATAGGTGGCTATTAGTCTTTTAATGTGTAATTGATATATTTAATATATGAAATGTTTTTAGTTTTGAATTTTTTAATTTAATAAATTGGTTTAATAATGATATCAAAGTTGTTGCCATATTTAAGTTTTGGAAAAATAGAAACTAATTTAATGAAAATAAAAATAACCACCCATTACATGATTATCATCCAAGCACATAATAAAAATTAATTTGGTAAAAAAAAAAATAAATGTCTAAAAATTTTATCAAGTTTACATATTTTTATTTTTAGTGGGTAGAAATGATTTTAAAAAATTCAAAAATATTTTTTTGACATTTATTTTTGTCAACTTAGTTTATATTTTATCAAATTGATGACTTTGCCCTTCAAATTGGGCAATAGTATTTTCAATTGTTCTTATTTAGAACAAGATTTAAAATTCATGATCAAATGTGTCACAACTAAAAAGTTAAGGATCAAAATGATACAAGGTCCAAATTATAGGGATCGTTAGTGTAATTCACCCATTTAATTATATTACTCAATGTATTTTTTCTAAACATTAAGATTGTGTTTGGTTCATAGATTTGGTGAGAGATTTAAAAATAAAAAGAAAAAAAAATGTATAAAACGTAAGTAAAATATAATTATATTTTATTCATATTTTTTCTTTTTCTTTCTAAATCTCTATATAAATTCATCAACGAAACCCAGGGGAAGTTAGTGTATAAAACTAATCAATACATATAAAGTTCATAGAAATTATTATGCTGGCAAAGTTTTTTTTTGATAAAATAAGAACATTCAAAGATTAGGAAAACATCTAGTTCAAAAAAAAAAAAGATTATGAAAACATACATAAGAGTTCTCATATTCAAATTACATTACCCAGCTGGCAAAGTATTTTTTAAAGTAGGCATAAGATACTATTCTAAATTAAAAACCAAAAAATCAAAAAACAATGAAGTATGGGCAATTTAAATTTGGCAGGGCACATATGATGCTAACTATTTTCTTTCTCACCCAACAATATGGGATGCGTGTGCCGGTCGGCAGTGTATTCTATATATTAAGCATGATGGAAAACTACTGAAAATTTCAAACAAAGAATGTGTACACAAAACTAGTGAGAATATTTCAATACAAATAGACAAGCTATGGAATCATTTTGGACTTTTCTTATTCCTTTTTTAATTAATAATACCAAAATAGAATAATAATAAACAAGTAAGGTAGTAGGTGGTAGTTGAGATTGAGAGATTAAATAAATTTGATGGGCACCAAGTTTGAAAAGAAGAAGAAGAAGAAGAAGAAGAAGAAGAAGAGAAAGAGTGGTCCAACTATTAAGAATACCATAAACATTTGTAGACTGCTTCTCCACAGTGCACATCTCTAGCAATCTAAAGTCAACAATATACTGATTTGGTGTGCCGTACAAAGAAGTGAATGAGATGTTTTGAACGTTCTGCTCCACAAAAACCATTTTTTTTGGGGGGGTGGGGGTGGGGTGTGGTGGGTTGTTTCTGTGCAACTACTTCATTCATTTCAATAGTCTTACCAACAATCATCTCACTATCCCACATATATCAATATATATATATGGTGCTATATCTTCTAACACATCACTCCCATTTTGATCTCATTAGAGGTGAGAGAGAGAGAGAGTGAGAGAGAATAGAGCAGAAATGATAGAGACCTCTTTTTTCTTGACCTCCACAACTTCCACAGACACATGTCAGTGAATGATAGAAGGAAAAAGAAAAGAAAAGAAACAAACAGTAAAAAGTTGGCCGATCCCAAACATTGGTGGTAGTGGGAGTCAAGGAAAAAAGGGATCTTAACCTTTTTCCAAGAATAAAAAGAGGAGGGATGAGGAGTGTGAGTCTACCCCTTCACGTGATCCAATCCATGTCATCAGAGATGGATTGGGAATACTCAATTAGAGTTTCCAAGTATTTTTCTATTCCTATTTATATAACAAGTCTTTGAGATAACTCAAGATGGTTCTAACAATCTTTTTCAACAATGAAAATGGAATAAACCACCAAAATTAGTTGCACAAGCTTTGCTTAGTATGTATCTATTCTATCATATAAAGTAAACATTTGATTTGGTATAGTCGCCTTATTCTATCACATTTCTTCTCTGTCTGAAAATGCCTATCAGATTGATAATTGTCAATAGGATGAAATTACCATGAGTAAACTGATTTTTATATATTTAAAATTGCATAAATTACAATAAACCTCCTTAAACTATAACCTATTTGTATTTTGCCCCATTGAACTTCAACCCTCAATTGTTAACCATCTCAAAATATTATCTTGTTACATTTAACCTCTTATATTAAGATTTTGTTAGAAATTCACACAAAATCAAATCATATGTAAAGCACATGACATATTTATTGAATTTTTAGGGTAATAATGCCCTTATCTAATAAACTCGTTTGCACATTGCCACTAAAATAAGGGTGACAAGGTGCAAATGGGACACTAAATAAGGACATTATTGTCCTAAGAAAACCAATAAAAATCAGTAAGTGTATTATGTACTTCATACATGACCTAATTCCATTTAAATCCCAAGACAAAATCCTAACGAAAGGTGTTAAGTGTAACAAGATAATAATTCAACGCAGTTAACAGTTGCCTTTTGAAGTTCAAGGACGCAAAGTGCAAATGCGTCATATTTTAGGGAGATTTACTACAATTTACCCTTTAAAATTTTACAAACTATTTCTATTCATCTTTTTCATTACTAAATTACATATATTTGCACACGCATCACATATACCCCAGTGCTAGTATATATACACAGATACAAACAGGGAGCACACAAATAAACACTTATATTTACCATAGCACAGCCTATGCATCTTTTTGCAAATAATATCCAAGGTCAGATTGTAACACTCAATCAACACGATACTGTCCTCCACAATTGTAACAGATAGATTATGCGTTCAAATATATACACCGTATGCTTTTATGTATTTAAAGGTGAAGGTAACTGAGTCAATATGGAAATAAAAAAAAAATGGAAATAATTGAGCAACCTAAGAAAAGAAAAGAAAGTGCTCTCATAATTTACTTAAATATTACAACACTAATGCTGTGTTTGGTTGGGGGATTTGGGGAGGGATTTGGAAAGGGAAAGGGAAAAGGTGTGTGAAACTATGTGAAATGTAGATATATTTTTTTCACATTTCACCTATCTTTTCCATTTCCCTTTCCAAATCCCTCATCAAATACCTCAACCAAACACAGCATAAGGGTTTCTTAGTACTTTATAGAATCTAAGCGTCACGTTTTGCACATGTACTGTGTGTTCAATGCATGCAGCATGGAATATGCTTGTTGGACGGTTGAACAAAACTTTTAGGAACAGTTCAAAAGTTCCTATTCAGATTTCATAAAAAGCAAACCTTTTGAACAACAATTCTCTAGGATATTCCAAAAACAAGTGCACAAAATCATATATTTATTATAACAAAACAAAATCAAATCAATGTTGCACGATATGGTGTTTGTCTTCTACGATGACTCGGACATCTGTTTCTAAATTATGAAATCAAACCCGAGTTAATAATGATTTATACAATTCTAACGTAATTATCTAGCAACTAGTTACCAGTTTCAAACAGATATGCTAGACAATTTTCGTAGTTAATATTGCAATTCAAGACTCAATGGTAATTGATAAACAATGACAGAATGACCTAGCTAAAATAACGAGTTCTCAAACACACTGTCCTCAATATCCAAAATGATGAAAGGCAAAAAGTCACATCTAGAACTGAATTTCATGAGCAACAATCTAAGAATGATTTATTAAAATAACAAGTACTCAAACACACTGTCCTCAATATCCAAAATGATGAAAGGCAAAAAGTCACATCTAGAACTGAATTTCATGAGCAACAATCTAAGAATGATTTATTAAAATAACAAGTACTCAAACACACTGTCCTCAATATCCAAAATGATGAAAGGCAAAAAGTCACATCTAGAACTGAATTTCATGAGCAACAATCTAAGAATGATTTATATCAATCCAGTTCGCTGTGGACATACATGAGCCTATTCGGTGCAATTTTTGGTAAGTGGAAAATTGAAAATCAAAAAGAAAAAGCTAAAGCTAAAAGCATCTCTCCCCCAACTTTTAAATAATAAATTTTTTTTAGCTTATTTAAACTATTTTTGACTCAAAAGATGTCAACAGAAGCTGATTAAACAATCTGGCACAATTTCCTAAAATAAACAAAACTATAACCAGTTCCATAAGCTGAACCAAAGTAAGAAGCATCATGGATCATCCCATCCCCATTTTTTCTTGACCCTCATAATCCCCATAAACACCACAACCCCCACAGACACATGTCAGTAAGTGATAGGAGGAAAAAAAAAAACAAAAAAAAAAAAGTAAAAAGTTGACCAATCCCAAACATTGGTGGTGGTGGAAGACAAGGAAAAAAGGGGTCTCAACTTTTTTCCAAGAATAAAAAGAGGAGGGATGAGGAGTGTGAGTCTACCCCTCCACGTGATCCAATCCACATCATTAGAGATGGATTGGGAATACTCAATTAGAGTTTCCAAGCATTTTTCTATTCCTATTTATATAACAAGTCTTTGAGATAACTCAAGATGGTTCTAACAGTCTTTTTCAACAATGAAAATGGAATAAACCACCGAAATTAGTTGCACAAGCATTGCTTAGTATGTATCTATTCTATCATATAAAGTAAACATTTGATTTGGTGTAGTCGCCTTATTCTATCACATTTCTTCTCTTTCTGAAAATGCCCATCAGATTGATAATTGTCAATAGGATGAAATTGCCATGAGTAAACTGATTTTTATATATTTCAAATTGGGTAAATTACAATAAACCTCCTTGAACAATAACCTATTGATATTTTGGCCCATTGAACTTCAACCCTCAATTGTTAACCATCTCCAAATATTATCTTGTTACATTTAACTTCTTATATTAGGATTTTGTTAAAAATTTACACAAAATCAAATCATATGTAAAGCACATGACATATTTATTGAATTTTTAGGGTAATAATGCCCTTATCTAACAAACTCATTTGCACCTTGCCACTAAAATAAGGGAGACAAGTTGCAAATGGGACACTAGATAAGGACATTATTGTCCCAAAAAAACCAATAAAAATCTGTAAGTGTGTTACGTATTTCACACATGACTTGATTCCATTTAAATCCCAAGACAGAATCCTAATATCAATCCCCTCACTATCAATCCCCTCCATTTTATCTCCCAAAACAAACGGGGCCTAAGTGTAACAAGATAATAATTCAGGGCAGTTAATTGTTGCCTTTTGAAGTTCAAGGGGACAAAATGCAAATGAGTCATTGTTTAGGGGGATTTACTACTATTTACACTTTAAAATTTTACAAACTATTTCTATTCATCTTTTTCATTACTAAATTACGTATATTTGCACATGCATCACATATACCCCAGTGCTAGTATATATTCACAGATACAGACACGGAGCACACAAAAATACACCCTTATATTTACCATAGCACAGCCTATGCATCTTTTTGCAAATAATATCCAAGGTCAGATTGTAACACTCAATCAACACGGTACTGTCCTCCACAATTGTAACAGATAGATTATGCATTCAAATATATACACTGTATACTTTTATGTATTTAAAGGTGAAGGTAACTGAGGCAATATGGAAATAAAAAAATGGAAATAATTAAGCAACTTAAGAAAAGAAAAGAAAGTGCTCTCATAATTTACTTAAATATTATAACACTAATGTTGTGTTTGGTTGAGGGATTTGGGGAGGGATTTGAGGAGGAATTTGGAAAGGGAAAGGGAAAAAATGTGTGAAACTCAGTGAAATGTAGGTATATTTTATTCACATTTCACCTAACTTTTCCCTTTCTCTTTCCAAATCCCTCCTCAAATTTCCCAACCAAACACAGCGTAAGGGTTTCTCAGTCCTTTATAGAATCTAAGCGTCACGTTTTGTGTTCAATGCATGCAGCATGGAATATGCTTGTTGGACGGTTGTACGAAACTTTTAGCAACAGTTCAAAAGTTCCTATTCAGATTTCGTAAAAAGCAAAACTTTTGAACAACGATTCGATATGATATTCCAAAAACATGCGCACAAAATCATATATTTATGATAACAAAACAGAATAAAATCAATGTTGCACGATATGGTGTTTGTCTTCTTCGATGACTCGGACATTTGTTTCTAAATTATTCAATCAAACCTGAGTTAATAATTATTTATACAATTCTAACATAATTATCTAGCAACTAGTTACCAGTTTCAAACAGATATGCTAGACAATTTTCGTAGTTAATATTGCAATTCAAGACTCAATGGCAATTGATAAACAATAACAGAATGACCTAGCTAAAATAACGAGTTCTCAAACACACTGTCCTCAATATCCAAAATGATGAAAGGCAAAAAGTCACATCTAGAACTGAATTTCATGAGCAACAATCTAAGAATGATTTATTAAAATAACAAGTACTCAAACACACTGTCCTCAATATCCAAAATGATGAAAGGCAAAAATCAATAACTGAATTCATGAGCAACAATCTATGAATGATTTAGATTCTATATCCCTAATCTACCTTGCTTACTCGTCCATCAGTCAAAATCTACGTTAGTCCCCCGTTTAGGCAACTGCATGCTTACTATATCCTCTCTAGGTAGACTATCATCACCCTCATTTGCCATTTGACGACTCTCAGGTGTAGTTAATGCCAGAAGGTGTGTCGCCTCTTTATTTTTTCGGAAGACCAAGTATGCAATTGCAACCAAATAAACCAAAATCCCTGAAAATCCAAGTATTCCGCAGAACACCATGCCTACGACTTTTAAATGGCTATGAAGAAGCAATTTGACGAAGCTGGTTGCAATATAGTATATATTTATGCCCATAATCAAGGATCCAATGATCCAAGTAGCTGCTGAAATCTGCAAAAGGATAAAATAAAGATACGTAAAAAAAAAAATATGCAGAGCCATGCACTGCAAAAAAGGAAACTATGCAGTATGCACAAATACATTACTTTGGGTAAGGGTGTCGGGTGTGAGTGCATATCTAGAGGTCCGTCCCATCAAATCTCCAATTCCAGGGCACACAAACTCGGCAAAAAGGGTCATATTTTTATATTTTTAATATATTATGTGAGATAAAATAGTATTATATGTAACATACAGTGTTAAAAAAGGCATTTTACTAATTTCATAGTAATTATACAAGAATACATACATGTAATAATAGTGTTACATAGAAATATATTAGAAGTGTCTGATGGAAAGTATCAAACACATATCTCACATCCTTGTCCAATTGTCGGGTGTCTGACACGGTTATTTCATTTATTTTGAAGAATCCATGTAACATATAGGATACAGGGGTTTCCTACTGATGACATCCAAGGCTATAGTACACACTTCAACATCCAAAATCTTACACTGTAGAAATTCTTATCCACTGATTGGTTTACTTTTGAATTAAATCCTGAGAGAGAGAGAGAGAGAGAGAGAGAGAGAGAGAGAGAGCTATCAAGTACGGACACGGGACATGGGACACAGCAATTCTTAAAAAATGGGTAAACAGACATGACGGGAGACATAGCGAATTTTATTTTATTTATTTTTATATATTTTTATGTGTTATGTAGATTCATATTACATTCATCCTAAATTAAAATTAACAAACACTAACATAGTAACATTAATTCAATAAATATAACCATTATATTTTAAACAAATTAATAGATCATCCATTCACAAAAAATTCACAAAAAAGTCAAAATAAACGATAATAAGAACTAAGACGAGAAGGGGAAAACATTCAACATCCAACAATATTTTCACAAAAGCACTAACTAAGAGAGGCCAAAAAAAATTAGCCCTGCCGTGTCCCCTACAAAAAAATCATTAAATTAAAGGGACACGCCATTTGGCGTGTCCCGTACGTGTCCCCGGCTTGTCCCCGTGTCGGACACTGCCACGGCACTGATTTTGGAGTGTCTATGCTTCATATATATATATATATAGAGAGAGAGAGAGAGCGACTGGAACGACTGACTTTTGTGAACATTGATCAGAGTGTTCTGGCAGAAAATCCATACATGAAATTATTAAAGGGCAATTTGATCATATCCACGCCTCTAGGTTTTGGTGTCTTCTGATTTTGACGAAACTTTAAGCTGAACTAACATCTATTGATTTCATGTCCAACCAGTAAATGCAAGAATTAGACAAAACCTTTCTGTGAAGACCTCACTTTATCATCATTTGCAAGCAGATTGTTCTGTCATATCTACATATCACCCTCTTATAGGAATGGCAACGGGGCGGGGCGGGGCCGGGGATCACCCTCCCCGTCCCTGATCCCCGATGGTCAAATTTCCCCCGGCCCCGGCCCCGATCCCCGACGGGAAACGTATCACCGCCCCCACCCCCGACCCCCGACGGGGATCGGGTTTCCCCAACCCCGAACATTTCCCGGCCAAAAAAAAATAAAAAAATGGATCAGCGTCTGGACAACGGTGGACAACAGCATCTAATTAATCACCAAGTAAAACAGATTCAAACAAAATCAGATCTATAATCATCCAAGTAAAACATAAGATTCAAACAACAGATCTATAATTATCATCATCCATTAAACAGATTCAAACAACAGATCTATAATCATCATCATCCAGTAAACAGATTCAAAACAACAGATTCTGTAGATCGGGAGTCGGGACCAGTGGCGGTGGTAGTGGTGTAGATTGGAGTTTGGACGGAGCGGTGGTAGTGGTGTAGATCGGAGTCTGGACCAGCGATCAAGCGCTGACACGACAAGAGCTGAGAGAGCAAACGAGGTGAGAGAGAGAGTAGTGGTTGTGTATGGGTCGGCCGTGTCGGTGACTGAGGTGAGAGAGAGAAGTCGGTGACTGTGTCCGCCGTGTCGGTGAGAGTGACGCCGTGTCGGTGAGAGTGAGAGAGAGAAGAACAGAGAGACGAGACGAGAGAGTGAGAGAGAGATGAGAGTTGAGAGAGTGAGTCAGTGAGAGTGTTGAGATCTAAGAGAGTTGACATCAAAAAGTACAACTAATATTTATATAATATTATATAATACAAAATAATAATACAAATTAATAATATTTATATATAATACAAAGAGATATAGAGCGTGGATGAATCAGGAGAAATTCCGGGCGGGGCGGGGCGGGGCCGGGGCCGGGGCGCGACGAGCTATTCCCGTCCTCGGCCCGAAATTGATCGGGGAGTAATTTTTTTAATACCATTCCCGTCCCCGCAGGGATATTTTTTGTTAAAACCTATCACCTACTTCACCCACTAAACCAACCCACTAACACCACTACCACCTCACCTACTCCACTAAACCTAACCCACTATAATACCACTACCACCTCACCTACTCCACTAAACCCACTACATACAACCACTACCACCTCCACTTCACCTACTCCCACTACCACCTCCACTTTACCTACTCCATCTACACCTACTACCACCTACTCTGTCTATATATATAGAATCATTGTAGCATTCAATAATTCAACAATTACAAACATCAATCAATAATACAATTCTCTTTATACATTAAATTTCTACATGGTATCAGAGGCAAGGTAGCACTTAGTATTTTTCGCTTCACCGGGCGGCGGCAACTCGCCTTGGCCGTCTGGCCGGACCTCAACCTAATTGCTAAAATATTTTTCTACACATACCGAAATTTCCTTTCTGAGTGCACTACTGTTCAGTCGGCCGGAGACGCTATCTCTATCTGCTTGGCACGTCGATGTCCCTTTTGCCAAAGCCCGTCGCGACACCGGCCTTCCTATATCTAGCGTCTGGTTTCAATCCCTTGCTATTCCAAGCCACAAATAGGGCACGACTTTGAGGGCTCGATATCTATATCCATGTATATCTTTTGGGCCAGTCTATATACACACTCATACCAAGTGTTCTCTACACCGGTAACATGGTACAAGGCCCAACCCTTCTGATGCCCTCGACATGATTACAGAGCCCAAGAGGCCATCAGACAAGCCTCTTCGTATCCTCCCACTTTCAGATTCTTACAAGATGCGGTATGGTAATTTTGGCCCACTTTTTGATCAACACCAGCAATATAGTTTCAAGAGAGATAACTAGTATTATATAATTTTTTCTATTTTAAATATTTTTCCACCGTCCAAACCTTTTTTTTTTTATCTTAATATATATAAAATTGGAGGAAACTCACGTGGGTGCTACTTTTTCTTTTTCTTCTTTCCATAGCCCAACTTTTCCTTGAACTCAATTTTTTTATTAAAAAAAAAAAAAAAAAAAAAAAAATTCCATTTCCATCTAATTTTTCTGCTCAGTCTTGTTACTTCAAGCCATTCGGATTTGCACAATACAACTCATTTATTATCTATCGGATTTCCCCTGATCCACATTTTACACCAAAAAAAAAAAAAAAAAAAAAAAAAAAAAAAAAAAACACAAATACAAACCAAAACAACCACATTCACAGGGGGATTTTTCTTCTCTACTCTCCGCCGGTCTTTTCTTCTTGCCTCCGTCCTGGGCGGCCCTTGCGGTGTTGCTTCCGTGTTTCCCACTCCACTAGGCATGATCACTACTCCCTGCTCCTCCACTGCAGCACTATGGCGGCCCTCCAAATCGAGAACATCACGGTGGCCTTCCGCTTCAGCTCCTGTTTTCCGTCTTTAGCACACTTATCTCTGCTCGCGCATCCTTATACATTGCGTTGGAGCAGAGCCAGTTGGGCGTTTAATTGATGCACCTCATTTTCCACCATCTGCAGCCGGGTGCGACAAGTTTGTGACCGCAGTCATGGTTCACACATGAACTTCAATGTAATACTGATTGGCCTCAATATCCGTTTGCACTGCCATTTTGGCTCCACCGACCGCATCGGAAAGTCAACGGGCAAAAATCAGAGGTGTTTGGTTGAGGTTCACGGGCCACCGCACCTGTTATCTTCCTGTTGACTCATGAGGTCGGGAAAGAGAGTAGTAGACCACGAAGATGAGGCCATGTTTGGGTAGCTGAACGGAAAGAAGAGCGCATGTTTTTGGGTTGCTGAGTGTTTCGAGAAGGGTTGGCATACGAGTATTTACAGATTGTTCAGGAATGACAAGTTCAGATGGTTTCAGTCTGGTTTGGTTTCCTTCCGCCTGCATTGCGTTTATATTGACACTGACGACGCGGCCGACACGCCGGCTCTATCGCTCACGTGCCTCGCCGCGGTCTCCGGCTCACCTTTGATGGCTCGACGCCTTTCTGTCGGGCACGACTTTTTGATGAAGTGGGCGCGCCTTTTTGAGGGCGCAACTTTGAGGCACGCTTTATGGATTGGGCACGCATTTTTGATGCCGTTTCTTTTATGGATTGGCCACGCCTTTATGGCACGCCTTTTTTGAAAAATTGGGCACACCTTTTTGAGGGTGCGACTTTTTTAAGGGTCCGACAAGACTCTGTAAACTGTCCCGACATTGATTCCGGTTAGCTCCTTCATGGGTCGACAAGACTCTGTAACTGTCCCGACATGATTCCCGGTAGCTCTTCATGGGTCGACAAGACTCTGTAAAACTGTCCCTGCATTGATTCCGGTTAGCTCCTTTATGGGCCGACAAGACTCTGGTAAACTGTCCCGACATTGATTCCGGTTAGTTTCTACAAGGGGTTCCAGCAAGACCTCCGTAAACTGTCTTCTAACAACGGTCGACATGGACCCCATAGAACTGTCTTCTAGCATCGGTCCGACACGAGCCAGTGTCTTCTACATCGGTCTTCTACAACGGTCTGACACGACCATACAGTGTCTCCTATCCTCTTTTATTTTTATGTATTTTCTGTTTTGTTACTCTCTCCAAACTTCAAGTTGGTTAGTTCCTATCCCTCTTGAGTTTGCGGGGGGTTTGTTAAAACCTTACCTACTCACCCACTAAACCTAACCCACTCACCACTACCACCTCACCTTACTCCACTAAACCTAACCCATTACACCACTACCACCTCACCTTACTCCACTAAACCCACTACACCACTACCACCTCCACTTCACCTACCCACCTACCACCTCCTACTCCTTACCACCTACTACCACCTACTCTTCTATATATAGGAATCATTGTAGCATTCAATAATTCAACAATTACAAACATCAATCAATAATACAATTCTCTTTATACATTAAATTTCTACATTTTTTGGGGAAAAACCACTTATTTCGGGGTCGGGGGATCGGGTCCCCGTCGGGCCGGGTTTAAATTGCCATCCCTACCCTCTTACTTTATCACACACACCCTCATGCACATGCCCAGGTGCACATATACATGCATGCACCAATGCTTAATTGCTTATCCAAGTTTTGCAACAAATCATACAATGCTCAGATCATGTCTATGAAAGAAAAACAATGCAATTTGTGAATTGAGAAGAAATTTACAGCAATTGAGTTGGCATGAGTCCCCATCTTGGTCTTGCTGCTTGTGAACTTGAGAAGTGGAATAAGAGCAAAAGGGAGTTCAAATGATAAAATCATCTGTCAAGACATCATCAAATGTTAGCTTGCTTTAAAAATTAAAAATGCTGGCAAGATAACAAGAAAAAAGAAGTCTGCTCTGAGTTTGTTGACATGCAAAACCATTACTCAATTTGTACAAAAGATTCATCTACTTTGTGAGTCATGTGCATGAAAGAATGAAAATCAATAGTTTTTAACAATTGTCTTTATTTGTTGTAGCCAGGGATTTGGCTTGACTTGACAGTATTTATTCTATGTTAAATTGGCATTTTAGCCACTTAAAAACAAAGGAACTGTATGGTTTATCTGAAAACCAAACCAAAAAGGACATAGATCTGAAAGCTTTGGTTTACTTTTATCCCCAGTTATCTCAGCAACAAAAAGAAAAGTAGATTGAACACTTATGCAACGAAGAATCTGAACTTTCAGGGAAAAAGAAAAAAAAAAGAACTTGATCACTTATAAACCAAGGATCAAGTAACAAGCTTCTTTTTTCACATGATACTGAAATTATGCAACATAAATGATAGATATATTTTAGTTCTTAGGTGCATCTAAACGGTAAAAAATATTAACTAAAATATGAAGAAAAAATTCACTCAAAACCCCAATGTAATTGCAGTATTTTCAGAGATTACTTGTGTATCTTGCATATGTGTGAATTGGCACAAAAAGAGTTCCCAAAGTATGTGCGTGCATGCATTTTAACTTAAGTTAGTGTGATTGTGTTTCAATCAAACGAAGTTGGAGACTGGTCTGTGTTGGTAAGAGAAAGGTCATGATTTCACTCGTACAATGTTACTTGATTAACTAGGAGAAAAATTAATTTGTACTTGAAAGTCGGTTGATTGATAATTGTATATTTTTGTTTGTATTATTCATATACAAATTTATGATTAAAAACAACTCTAGATTTTTATATATATTTAAATCTTCATGAAAAATAATATTATTATTTTCACTCGTCAAAATATGTATGTCATGCATTACATTTTCACAAAGGTATTAAGGATCAAAGTATTTATACATGAGAGAAGCACATGACACCAACATTATAATGATTAACAATTATTTTTCAAAGCTACATATTTGTATTTAAATACATTTATATTTTATAATATTAACCTAGCCTTCATATATCAAGGTATGGAAGAATACACTAAGTATTAAACACATGAATTACTTATTTACCCTTTAATTTAGTTGTTTGACAAAAAGATATTTTTAAATATTAACAAATACAATAAGAAACAAATAGAGGCATTTGACATGTCCAAGAAGAAATAGCATATAAAAGTTTACAATTTTTCCATCCCAATTGTTTAACCAATATTCGTATTATACGCATATATATTTAAATAAATATTTTTTTCCTCATCATATTTTTTATATCTATTTTTTCATTGCATTCTAAATCAAAGTTAATCTTATGATTCCCAATACTTCATATTTTAGATTAGTAAGAATGCATTTGATAAAGTAGAAGCTTCCTTTTTTCACCAAATAGTGAAATTATGCAACATAAATGATAGATATTGACACCAAATTGGGAAAAATAGCAAGCAATGTAGTATCTTGTGAACCTACTATATTTCCATGTAGAAGAACAAATATAGAAGTTTAGGAAGGGCATCCATCTCTGAGAGCTAAAAAGATTGAAGGGAAGAATATTTACCGAAGCAATAATGATTAACTGTCCAGCTCCAGCAGAGCCACCAATTAATGCAACTATCAGACTAGGGACTATTGCCAAGCATCGAGTTAAAAAGTTGCGAATCCATGTCTTCAGTCGTAAATCAAGAAATCCCTGAAACAAGCAATGTACAAAATCATTAAATTGATTATAGTTATCAACAGAACACCAGATGGGACCAAAATAAACTAATACTCCAATTAATTAAGGAATTTATAGGCAACATCAGATTGCTTCTGCTGCATAACTTCTGAAACACATTCATCTACACATATTTTACTTAAACGATGTTTTCCAACAGATTCCATGATAAGAATTGAAGGAAAAATTGAATCTGAGATTTTAAGACAATCCATTGAAACTCAAAGGTCATCAATGATGTGACTTGGGAAGAAAGTTATCACAGAATATGATACTGGTTTGTATTTCAGTTATCAACTAATAGTTCATTGAGCCATGGAAATATCCTCTTGTATATCCTATCACTTCATATCCTTTATGACAAAACCTAAGAGATAAAAATATATTAGCGTAAAAGAATTATACCAGTAAGACATGGTGATTTCAAAATATTGTGCTCACCGGGGACATGGCAATAAATTTATATGTATATATATATATTCTTATTTGATATGTAAATTAATATTATATCCACAAACAATCAAAACAAAAATGAATCCAAATTCAATATATATATATATATATAAACCACTATTTGTTAATTTTAGAGAATACCAGATTAGGGAATGATTAGGATATCATTCCCTATTTATATTAATGAAAATTAATAATTACAAGGAAGCCCTAAGGCAGATCGGGGTGAGGCCCGATATGAATAAAATGAGTTTGCAGTTCGTCTTCTTCCTCTTTGTTTGTCTGTTTGGTTTTTTTTTTTTTTTTTAATAAAATAAATACATAAATAAATAAAATAAAGGAAAAGAAAGAATGTGGAGCAACGGGGAGGTGCAAAAGGGGATGATAATGTTTTGTGAGTGGAGAATAAAGAAAAGAAAAGAAAGGGGTTGTGTGGTGTGGGTTATGATGACAAAATATTATAATAAACATAAATGGGCGTTGGGTAGCTTTCAACATAAACAATGATCAGCCCATTGAATAAAAATAAAAAAAAAAACAAAAGCGTTGTGTGGGTGGAGCATATAGAAAAGAAAAGAAAATAAAAGGGACCATGTGGGAGACAACGGGGAAGTGAGAGAGAGAAAAGGCATCGGGTTGCTGTCCAAGGCATTATGAGAGAGAGAGGATGATGTAAAAATAGTAAAAATGTGTTCCTCAGAATAAAAAGAAGATCTGCCGAAGCGTGTGAAGATGGGGGGATTTGCCAGGTGGTTAATCATGGTGTTGATGCTAGACTTGTGTCTAGTGGCAAGAAAAGAGGCTTCATCGTTTCAAGCCATTTACAGGGAGAGGCGGTGCCGGAGAAGGACAGCTCGAGTTTGATGGAGCCTGTCATGCAAGTTATTGGAGGTGTAGTTGAGGAGAGGAGTGGTTGAGAATGGACCACGGTGACTCGAACCATCAGCGCGGAGTCGCTGCTGCCAATATCCACCTCCGCGAACAGTGGTCCGTCGGTGGCTGGTGGTGCGGTTGGGATTGCCTGCGGCAGAGTCCAGGATGATGTGGACCATGGACTCGGCTGTATCGAGGTGCTGTGAAGAAACCCACATGGCTGATTCGATGATTTGGGTTGGGGTCGGGTTTGGAGGGACGTGATTGGAGTTAACCAATGAGGACTCGCACGTGTCTGGGAAGCGTGTGGCCTTGCACGCTTGGTTGGAAGGGCCTCGGCCGTAGATTGTATGCGGTACTGGGAATAATGAAGAACCTCCAAACAGTTCTTGGTTGTGGTGGTGCAGAAGTGGATGACGGTAGCGAGGTGGTGTTGGTCGAATCACGGCTGAAGGCAGTGGTCCTCAAGGGAGTGCAAAGCAAGATGGTACCTGGGTTGGTTTTGATGGATGAAAATCCGGCATGCAGAAATAGTTGGAAGATGAGAGGTCCGGCGGGCGGCCAAGGCGAGGCTGCCGCCCGCCGGTGAAGCGAAGATACTAGTTTCTTAACCTTGCTCTGATACCATGTGAAAAAATACTGTATTATTATTGATGGATTGTTTGATTAATAGATTACAAGATTGAGGTTCCTCATTATATAGGAGAGGATTGGGGAGTAGGTGAGTGTGTGTGGTAGGTGAGTTGAGTGGAGGTGGTAGGTGATGATATATTTTAACAATATTAACCTAGCCTTCATATATCAAGGTATGGAAGAATACACTAAGTATTAAACACATGAATTTACTTATTTACCCTTTAATTTAGTTGTTTGACAAAAAGATATTTTTAAATACTAACAAATACAATAAGAAAAAAATAGAGGCATTTGACATGTCCAAGAAGAAATAGCATATAAATGTTTACAATTTTTCCATCCCAATTGTTTAACCAATATTCGTATTATACCCAAATATATTTACATAAATATTTTTTTCCTCATCATATTTTTTATATCTATTTTTTCATTGCATTCTAAATCAAAGTAATTAATCTTATGATTCCCAATACTTCATATTTTAGATTAGTAAGAATGCATTTGATAAAGTAGAAGCTTCCTTTTTTTCACATAATAGTGAAATTATGCAACATAAATGATAGATATTGACACCAAATTGGGAAAAATAGCAAGCAATGTAGTATCTTGTGAACCTACTATATTTCCATGTAGAAGAACAAATATAGAAGTTTAGGAATGGCATCCATCTCTGAGAGCTAAAAAGATTGAAGGGAAGAATATTTACCGAAGCAATAATGATTAACTGTCCAGCTCCAGCAGAGCCACCAATTAATGCAACTATCAGACTAGGGACTATTGCCAAGCATCGAGTTAAAAAGTTGCGAATCCATGTCTTCAGTCGTAAATCAAGAAATCCCTGAAACAAGCAATGTACAAAATCATTAAATTGATTATAGTTATCAACAGAACACCAGATGGGACCAAAATAAACTAATACTCCAATTAATTAAGGAATTTATAGGCAACATCAGATTGCTTCTGCTGCATAACTTCTGAAACACATTCATCTACACATACTTTACTTAAACGATGTTTTCCAATAGATTCCATGATAAGAATTAAAGGAAAAATTGAATCTGAGATTTTAAGACAATCCATTGAAACTCAAAGGTCATCAATGAAGTGACTTGGGAAGAAAGTTATCACAGCATATGATATTGGTTTGTATTTCAGTTATTAACTAATAGTTCATTGAGCCATGGAAATATCCTCTTGTATATCCTATCACTTCATATCCTTTATGGCAAAACCTAAGAGATAAAAATATATTAGCGTAAAAGAATTATACCAGTAAGACATGGTGATTTCAAAATATTGTGCTCACCGGGGACATGGCAATAAATTTATATGTATATATATATATTCTTATTTGATATGTAAATTAATATTATATCCACAAACAATCAAAACAAAAATGAATCCTAATTCAATATATATATATAAATATAAACCACTATTTGTTAATTTTAGAGAATACCAGATTAGGGAATGATTAGGATATCATTCCCTATTTATATTAATGAAAATTAATAATTACAAGGAAGCCCTAAGGCATAAAATAATTACAAAATAATAACCCAAATAATCATATATTATTCAAACACTCCCTCTCAAACTGGTGCGAAGACATCTCTCATGCCCAACTTGCATAAGATGTCATAAAATGGCTTACTCCCAACTCCCTTGGTGAGGATGTTAGCAAGTTGTTTACCAGACTGCACAAAGGCAGTACATATTGTGCTACTAGTGAGTTTCTCTTTAATGAAGTGGCGATCAATCTCAACATGTTTTGTCCTGTCATGTTGAACCGGATTGTGAGCAATGTTGATAGCGGCCTTATTATCACAGTATAACCGCATGGAGTCTGTCTGATCAATACCTAGATCACTCAACAATAACCTGATCCATAAGAGCTCACACACCCCTTGTGCCATAGCTCTAAACTCAGCTTCTGCACTCGACCCGGCAACCACATTTTGTTTCTTACTCCTCCAAGTAACTAGGTTGCCTTCAACAAAGGTGTAATGCCCTGAAGTCGATCTCCTATCAGTCACTGATCCAGCCCAGTCAGCATCTGTATAGGCTTCTACACGAAGAGGATCATACCTTGAAAAATAAAGACCCTTACTAGGAGCAGACTTCAAGTATCTCAAAATTCGCATGACAGCCTCGAAGTGAATTTGATGAGGAGCATGTATAAACTGGCTAACCACACTGACAGCAACAGCAATATCAGGACGAGAGTGAGATAGGTAAATGAGTTTACCCACTAATCGCTGATAGCTCCCCCTATCAACAGTTGCTCCTCCTTCATCATCCCCCAGTTTCTAATTGGGTTCTAGTGGAGTGTCACAGGCCTTGCAGCCAAGCATCCCAGTTTCCTTCAACAAATCAAGCACATACTTCCTCTGTGAGATAAATATCCCATCCTTGGAGCGAGCAACTTCAATTCCCAAAAAATACTTCAAGCTCCCCAAGTCTTTGATCTCAAACTCACGGGCTAAATATTTCTTCAACAGAGGAATTTCCTCACTATCATCACCCGTAAGAACTGTGTCATCTACATAAACAATGAGTGCTGTAGTCTTACCAAGTGAGGAATGTTTCACAAACAAGGTGTGATCTGCCTGACTCTGTTTGAAGCCATATTTAAGCATAGCCTGAGTGAATCTCTCAAACCAAGCTCTCGGAGACTGCTTGAGACCATATAATGACTTTCGAAGCCTACATACTTTGCCTTCTGTCTGATGATCCTCAAAACCAGGAGGAATGTCCATATATACCTCTTCTTCGAGGTCACCATGGAGAAAGGCATTCTTTACATCAAACTGATGAAGTGGCCAATCTAGATTAGCTGCTAAAGAGAGAAGCACTCTGACTGAATTCATCTTAGCCACGGGTGCAAAGGTCTCCTGATAGTCAACGCCATACGTCTGAGTGAACCCTTTTGCCACAAGTCTAACCTTGTAACGCTCAATAGAACCATCCGCTTTGTGTTTCACAGTATACACCCATTTGCATCCCACCGGTCGTTTGCCCTTAGGTAACTCAGTCAATTCCCAAGTACCATTCTTTTTAAGTGCTTTCATTTCCTTAATCATGGCAAGTTTCCACTCAGAGGTAGCAAGAGCATCCTGAAAATGGTTAGGAATGATAACAGAGGAAATATTGGACACAAACGCTTTATATGAGGACGACAAATGAGAGTAGGATACAAAATTCGAGATAAGATGTTGAGTACAAGACCTCACACCCTTTCTCTTGGCAATTGGAACATCAAGATCAATGGACTCAAGAGATTCAAAGTTACCTAGACTCTCATCAGAAGCAGGAGATGACAGTGGAGGAGCAAAAGTGGTCTCTTGTATCCAATCAATTTTCTATCTGTCTCTGTCCCTGACATAAACTTGCCCTTCCCTACCCTTAGTGACATTGGGTTCTGCAGTCCCAGTATGAGATGGTGGTGCAAGAACAACTGGTTCCACCATAGGAATCACAGGAATCACTTCACACCAAGGCTCCCCCTGAAAGGAGGACTGTGACACTGGAGAGGACAAGAAATAGGACTAGGACTCAAAGAATGTGACATCTATGGACACAAATCATTTACGAGAAGAAGGGTGGTAATACTTATATCCTTTTTGAGTAGGAGAGTACCTAAGAAAAACACATTTGAGGGAGCGAGGGTCCAACTTACCACGAGTAGGAGAGTGATTATGGACAAAACAGACACAACCAAATATTTTAGGAGGAATAGAAAATAAGGACTGGGAACCTAGGAGGACGTGAAGAGGAGCTTGTTTTTGCAAGACCTGAGTAGAGAGACGATTAATAAGATGGGCAGCGGTGAGAATAGCGTCGCCCTAGTAGGACCGAGGCATACTCATAAAAAAACACATGCACCAAGCCATGTCAAGAAGATGGCGATTCTTGCGTTCCGCCACCCCATTTTGTTGAGGGGTATTGGTGCAAGGGGTCTGATGGATAATGCCATGAGTAGAAAAATATTGCCCTAACCCAGAATCTATGTATTCACCCCATTATCAGAACGGGATATTTTGACAGTGACTCCAAACTGAGTACAAATCATCCTATGAAAATTTTGAAATACAGAGAAAACCTCACTCTTGTCTTTCATGAGATACACCCAAGTAGTACGAGAAAAATCATCAATAAATGTAACAAACCAGCGATGACCTTTCACAAACACAACACGAGATGGACCCTAAACATCAGAATGTATTAATGAGAAAGGAACTAAACTTTTATTAAAACTAGGAGCAAAAGAAGCTCTGTGTTGTTTGCCAAGCTGACAAGACTCACAAAGAAATTCAGACACATTATTGTTTGAAAAACCAGATGGAAATAAATGCTTTAAGTAAATAAAAAGAAGGATGCCCAAGACGCCGATGCCACAGCCATATATCATCGGTGGTAGTAGGATGCATGGTGGAAGAATGAGCAAGCTTGTCCAGTTGATCCAGGAAGTAGAGACCATTTTCTGCACTACCACTGATATCGTCCTCCTCGTGACAAGGTCCTGAAAAAGACAATGATCAAGAAAAAACGTTGCACTACAATTCAAATCCTGGGTAAAACGACTCAAGGATAACAGATTAACAGAAAAATTGGGAACATGGAGAACAAAAGATAGATGTATGGTAGGAGTGACTTGGACTAAACCTTTTTCAGAAATGGAAGAAACAGTACCATCTGCAATCCTAACTTTGTCCTGACCTGAAGAGGGCTTATAGACAGAGAAAAGATCAGAGGAGCCAGACATATGATCTGAGGCACCAGAATCAATAATCCAAGGCAAAGATGTATGACACAGGAAAGCACAAGGAGAAGATGCTAAGTTACCTGAGCGGGCAAAGGACGAGGAAGCGGTACTGAGAGCAGTAGAAGATCGGCGGTCCAACAATTGGCGCAAAGCATCCTCCAGCTCAGTATCAGAAGCTTGGGTAACAGAAGTGGAATTAGAATCAAGGGTATCAACGGCACTAGACTGATGAGCCCGGGAATAGGAACCACGTCCTCGAGAGTGGCCTGACCGACCTCCTCGCGAACCAGACCGATCACCTCGACTCCCAGATGGAGTCCCATGAAGCTTCCAACATGTCTCACGAGTATGCCGCGGCTTCTTGCAATAATCACAGAATACAGACTCCTTAGCAGCAGATGGAGGAGGCAGGCTGAGGCCATCTCGAGGAGTAGACAGTAATGCGGAACGGTCAGTAGAGACAGGGGACATCATAGCAGACCGACGACTCTCCTCATTTTGGACATAGGCAAATGCCTCCTGAAGTGAAGGAAACTAAGTTATAACGCCCCCAAAATAATACAATAAATGCAACCCATAAGCGGAAAGATAATAGAAATAACATGCCTTCATTCATCAAAGTTTGTATACAAAAGATAACACATGCGATATACATTCGTAAACTGTTCATCCTGAAATATGGTATTTTCTTTTGCTAATAAAAAAACTGAAAACTCAAAATGGAAACACATTTTTTGTGTTTTCATTTTTTGGCCAAATTTATAAACTGAGACCACTGATTTATAAATCAAAAATTTTACCAAACAAGTTTTTATTTGAGTTTTTTAAATTTTTGTAAATATAAACAGAAAACTGAAAATGTAAGTGTTACCAAACGATACCTAAGTAAATAAAAAGAAGGATGCCCAAGACGCCGATGCCACAGCCATATATCATCGGTGGTAGTAGGACGCATGGTAGAAGAATGAGCAAGCTTGTCCAGTTGATCCAGGAAGAAGAGACCATTTTCTGCACTACCACTGTCAATCATCCTCCTCGTGACAAGGTCTTGAAGAAGACAATGACCAGGAAAAAATGTCACACTACAATTCAAATCTTTTGTAATACGACTTAAGGATAGCAGGTTAACAAAAAAATTAGGAACATGGAGAACAGAAAAAAGAGATAAAGTAGGAGTGACATGGACTAAACCTTTCCCAGAAATAGAAGAAACAGTACCATCTGCAATCCTAACTTTGTCCTGACCTGAAGAGGACTTATAGACAGAGAAAAGATCAGAGGAGCCAGACATATGATTTGAGGCACCAGAATCAATAATCCAAGGCAAAGACTTATGAGACAGGAAAACACAAGGAGAAGAGGCTAAGTTACCTGAGCGGGCAAATGACGAGGAAGATGTACTGAGAGCAGTAAAAGACAGGCGGTCCAGCAATTGACACAGAACATCCTCAAGCTCATGAGTAGTCATGCCAGAGAGATCATCAGAAACCTGGCCAACAGAAACAGAATTAGAATTAAGTGTATCAACGACACTAGACTGATGAGCCCGGGGATAGGAGCCACGTCCTCTAGACTGGCCTGACCGACCTCCTCTAGAACCAGACCGATCACCTCGACTCCCGGATGGAGTCCCATGAAGCTTCCAACATGTCTCACGAGTATGCCGCGGCTTTTTATAGTAATCACAGAATACAGACTCCTTGGCGGCAGACGAAGGAATGGGAGTCAGGCTGAGTCCATCTCGAGAGGTAGACAGTAATGCTGAGCGGTCAGTAGAGATAGGAGACATCATAGCAGACCGGCGACTCTCCTCATTCTAGACATAGGCAAATGCCTCCTGAAGTGAAGGAAGAGTATCCATAATCAGAACCCGACTCCGAACCGGACCATACTCCACATTGAGACCGGCCAGAAACTTGAAGACCCTTTCCTGTGCAATGACCTTCCTATACCCGACAGAATCAGCAGTGCAAACAGGCTTACAGTCCTGTAGGTGATCAAGGCGTTTCCAGCCGTTGGTGAGGAAGGTGAAATACTGAAGAACCGTCTGCTCCCCCTGAATAGAGCTCTTAATAGAGCGGCGTAACTCAAATGCCTGGGAGAAATTCCCTTTACGGGAATAGGTGGTAGCCACAGCATCCCAAACGTCTTGGGCAGTCTCCATAGACAAGTAGCCCTCGCCAATGTCTGGTACCATCGAATGAATAAGCCAACCCATAATCAAAGAGTTGTTAATCTCCCATTGGTCATAACCCGAATCAGTTGTGCTGGGTGCCTGTATCCTGCCACCCACATACCCCATCTTCCCCCTGCTCTTCAAAAACATAGTCAAACTTTGCGACCACGCTAGATAGTTCTGACCATTAAATAGAGAGGTGGTGATTTTAAGACTAGGGTGGGGGTTATCAGTCATAGTAGTAGGTATAGGGAAACTCTCACTCCTAGGTGTCTGAGAAGTAGTGGACACATCGGTGGAATCTGCCATAGATACTGTACTACTGAACCCACAACAAAACTAGTGTCAATCACAAACCTAGAAGGTGGTGGTGGTGGAAGGAAAAACAAACAACCACTATGACAATAAAGAATTAACAACTCATACTATTTTTTTTTTTTTTTTTTTTAAGAAAAATAAAACAAACAGTGCTGGGTTATATAAACACAGAGCAAACAAACAACTTAAGAGTGAGAGACAGAGAAACGAGACAAACAAAGAGACGAAGACGATAAGAGAAGCGAAGCAGAGGGAGAGTCGAGCAGTCGAGAGAAGTGAGGTAGGGTGGCGGAAAGGCCAAGGCAGTCGCCTGAAGCCAACGAAGACTGAGGAGCTATCGGCTGAGTCATCCAGTGGTCGACGAAGCTAGCACAGACGATGACGATGAGCCAAGGGTGATTCAGTGGTCCACGTTCATCACATCAGGTGAGTTCCGAACCCTAGGTGAACCGAAACCCCTCAGGCTTGACACGAACGAAGCCAACAAAGCCAATAATGACGATGATCCGAATGTGATTCGGCTTGGTTGGCTCCGGCAGTGGGTTGGTGTCTCCGGTGGGTACTGCATGCTTAGAGGAATTTAGGTTTTAGGGCTAGCTCTGATACCATGTTAATTTTAGAGAATACCAGATTAAGGAATGATTAGGATATCATTCCCTATTTATATTAATGAAGATTAATAATTACAAGGAAGTCCTAAGGCATAAAATAATTACAAAATAATAACCCAAATAATCATATATTATTCTAACACTATTAAGTTTACTTTTAGTATAAAAAAAAAAAATTATACCAATAAGCATTGATTGTGAGATACTAAGAAGCACAGGAATAGTGATTTCAAAAAAATGGGCACGGCGGGGTCATGCATGGCAAGAAATTATATATATATACATATTCTTACCTGTTGCTATATAGATTAATATTACATCCACAAACAATTAAAATTAACAAAAATTAACACTAATTCAATATAAATATTAAAAATAATAATAATACTAAATAAAAAAATAAAAAAATAAACGTCACTCTTAAGTTTACTCTTATTGTTTATGCACTTTTATGGATGATCTATTAATTATTTAAATTTAAGAAAAAAAGTAATGAACATTCAACATTAACATTCCAACATCCAACATCCATCAAAAAATTAATTAATTAAATAAAGGGACACGCCTTGTGGTGTGTTCTGTACGTATCCCTGTTGTCCCCACCATGTCCCCATGTCTGACACCACTACGGCACCTATTTTGAAGTGTCAGAGCTTCATAGGTGCAAAGCACGGATATGGATACGAGATATGGATATGATATGATACAGATACGGCAATACGAAGAAAATAGGATACGAGTATGGCTGGGATACGTTTGTAAATAAAAAATAAAAAATTATTAGTAGTGAGTTACATATAAGTTCAAGAATGTTGAGAATTCATATAATTTTATGATGCAAAACACTAACTTTTAAGAATTATGTATTAATTTAAGATAGTAGCTTGTTTACTTTTAAAATTTTTAATAGGTCTTGCAAGTATTTCATTTCCATATCAAGTTTAATATGTTTATATTACAATAATAGAACAATCCACAACTTGTCTCTGTGCTTTCCCCTTCGGCACTAGTAAAAATGTTGTATTTAAGTTTAATTATTTATTTATTGATATTTAATTTTACTATAGTTTATTCTCTTGTTAATCCTTAATTTTTATGTAATTATAGGGGGTATGCATAAAACAATAAGGATACATCAATTTGACAAATTTTAATACTATAACTTTCACTATCTTTCTCTTATCAAAGAATTAAACAAAGTATTAAAAGTAATATGTGACTTGGAATACCCGATAATCCAAAATTAATAAAAAATTAATTAAGAAGTATCCGATACTTTTAATAAGTATCCAATACATATCTACGAGTATCCAAGGAGTATCGGTATCCGATACGGATATGATACAGATACATCTCCTTTTTTGAAGTATGCATTCCCTGTTATTGTAGAACTCTGACCAGATGCTAGCAAAGCAATTGCAAAGATCTTTGAACTCCAATTGCCTAACACATTCTGTAAACAGGAAAATATATATACATATATATATATATCGCTATAATGCACAATCTGGATTGTAGTAACTTGAGAAGAAAATGCAAAATAACACTAAGGATTTTAACCAAAAATATATTTAGTATAATATATGAAACTGAACAGAAAGGACTAAAATGAACACTGAATATTGCATATGTTGGGGGAACAACAGATCACTTGCCTTAAGTAAAAAAGAGGCTTTGTTCAAGTCCAAATCTTGGCAGTTCTTCTGATCATCTGGGTTCAAATTCGAGGAATTGCAAACTGAACCACTTACTGAGATGACTGATACATTAATGAGAAAGGCAATCGTTAGAGCAAAGCCACTTTCTATCATATAAAACCTGCAAGCATCCTGTAAACAAGAGAAACAGTCATTTAGTGCTCAATAGAATCATGCCCTAACATATAAAATCAAACTTCAGAAGGGGACTTTTGAGGGATCAAAATGATATCATGTTGCCTACATCTTGATACAGTAAAACTTCAATCCAATTAGCCTAAAAAAGAATATCATTTAGTTCCAAATTGACATAAATTACTGAACTCCAAAAAATAAATAATAATGAATAAAATGTAGCAAATATAGACCTGAGCAGAAATCTATTTTCTTCCCAAGATTATTTGTCAAAGAGCCACTAGCACAAAATACTAATGAAAGACGAAAAAATTCTGCAGGACAAAAGTAAGATTCTCTTCTTTATCCTTTACATTTACTTTTTAATTGTCCTTTTTCCTTTCCTTTAATGTTTTGTCTATTTGTGAGTGCCTGCATCTTATTTTTCTGTGCACAACTTCAAGTTGGACAAATCCAGAACTATTGACCAAATTTTCTGAATAGTTTAATTTTAACTTTTTAAGCTGCTTTATGTTGACGCAAAAATATTTCCTACCATATAATTTGAAGATGGATCAATGGATGGACAAACATGACCATTCCTCTCCCCCTTCCAAACGAAGGTAAAATAAAATTCAAAAACTAAAGAAACAAAGACAATTTTTGGAAAAGGAAAAAAAAAAAAAAAAAAAAAAACTCACAACCTCTAACTTTGAAGAAATTAAACTTGGTAACACAGAAAATAGCAGTAGGCAAGATGATATAATGTGAGAATAATTAGTCCAAAGTTGCCATTTAGGTAACGGAAACAAGTTTTACTGCCCACAACCAAAGAGCAGTCTATATTAGGTAAACTCTCAATAGAACTTTTGGGGTCAACCCACATATAAGCTACCACTTGACCTGAGAAAACTAAAAGGTCAATTAGCCCATTATAGATTAAAAAAAAAAAAAATTTACTTTGATGCCATTAACAGATCGTGGTATTTTCCTTGAAAGGACCAAAGCTGAATGCAGGAAGAGATTGTGCCTGCAGCAAGTGCAAGACAATTAAGGAAACAAAAAACTTTGGAGCAGAATAAACCATTACCATTACGATTACGATAAATATAAGAAACTTACGGCATAACCATAGCTCCAAGGAGTGAAATTGCCAAGCCAGTAGCACCATTACCCTTCAATTGGGGAACAAAAAGCCCATTCAACACTTCTGAAGCATTGGGCTTCGCATATCCAAGCTCCACAAAAAAACATGCAGCAATTATAACTACCAGAAATGCAATGAACAACTCAAGTTTCCTCACCTGCACAAAGATCGCAATTATTATAGTTCCTTTTTCATTACTGCATTTCGCTCAATGGGTTGAAGGGAGATAGTGTATCAAGCTGTTGGCAAGGCCAACTTGATAGTTAAAACTTCAGTTCAAATGTGTTTACTTTAATCCCACAATGCATGGAGTAAAAGACTTGTTTAAATTACCCCATATTGCTGTAATGCTAGTAACATCAATGTACTGAGCCCTGTCAGAAGAACACCAACCCACACTGGAATTTTGAAGAGCATGTTTAATGCAAAGGCTGTTCCAATAACTGGACATAATAAAGAGCAGCAATAAGAATATAGATATATCAGAAGCCAATAATACATATATATCTGTTCAAGCACAGATGATGAATGAGGTTTGCATCAAACCAATAGTAAAAATATTAATGAAATATTTACGTAGTATGGTGTAAAAATATATGTATTATTGATTGATGAATGTTGATATCTATGTTACAAATGGTGAGTGGCTCATTATATAGGAGAGGGTGAGTGTAGTAGGTGAGGAGTAGGTGAGGAGTAGGTGGTGGTAGGTGATGGTAAATTGGTGGGTAGGTGATGGTAAATTTTAACAGCCCCCCGCAAACTCAAGGAGGATAGAAACTAACCAACTTGAGTTTGGAGAGAGTAACAAAACAAGAAAATACATAAAAATAAAAGAGGATAGGAGACACTGTATGGTCGTGTCTGACCGTTGTAGGAGACACTTTATGAGGTCGTGTCAGACCGGTGTAAGAGACAGTTTATGAGGTCATGTCGGACCGTTGTAGCAGGACAGTTTACGAGGTCATGTCGGACCGGTGTAGCAAACAGTTTATGGGGTCATGTCGGACCGTTGTAGCAGACACTGTGTGGTCGTGTCAGACCGTTGTAGAAGACAGTTTATGGGGTCATGTCGGACCGGTGTAGCAGACAATGTGGTGACAGTTGTTGTGACAGTTTACAGAGTCTTGCTGGACCCTTGTAGAAACTAACCGGAATCAATGTCGGAACAGTTTACAGAGTCTTGTCGGACCCATAAAGGAGCTAACCGGAATCAATGTCGAGATCAATGTCGGGACAGTTTACAGAGTCTTGTCGGACCCATGAAAGAGCTAACCGGAATCAATGTCGGGACAGTTTACAGAGTCTTGTCGGACCCTTGAAGGAGCTAACCGGAATCAATGTCGGGACAGTTTACAGAGTCTTGTCGGACCCTTAAAAAGTCGCACCCTCAAAAGGTGTGCCTAATTTTTCAAAAAAGGCGTGCCATCAAAAGGCGTGCTCAATCTATCAAAAGGTGTGCCGGACATGATGGCGAGGCACGTGAGTGCCTTGGCTGGCGCGCCCGTTTGTCGTCTGGCGTCAAGTGGCGCGCGATACGCGTGGCTGCCTCGGCTATTTAACCAAGACGGAGGCTGATGGAAAACAAACCAGGCTGAAAACCTCTGAACATTGTCAGGCTGAAACACTCTGAAAATACTCTGAAGCCAACCCTTCTCTGAAAAAACCTGCGGTTGCGGAGAGAGAAACTTTGTAACACTTTGTAGCCCAGAAAATGGCTTCGTCTTCCCGCGGTCTGCTCACCCTCTTTCCCGACCTCAACGAGTCAACAAGAGAGAGAACTGGTGCGGTGGCACTGGAACCTCAACCAAGCGCCCCGGAGTTTGCTCCGTTGAACTTTCCGATGCGGTCGGTGGAGCAAAGAATGGCAGTGCAGTCGAATGTGGATGCCAATCAGTATACTTTGAAGTCATGTGTGGAAACCATGACTGCGGTTACAAACTTGTCGAACCGGCTACAGAGTAGGACAAATGAGGTGCAGCAGTTAAACTCCCAGCTGGCTCTGCTCCAACGCATGTATAAGGATGGAAAATAAGGAGCTGAAGCGGAAGGCCACCGTGATGTTCCGATTTGGAGGTCCGCCATATGCTGTAGTGGAGGAGCAGGGTGGAGTGATCGTGCCTAGTGGAGTGGGAAACACGGAGGCAACACCGTTAAGGGCCGCGCAGGACGGAGGCAAGAAGAAGAGACCGGCGGCAGAGTAGAGAAGAAAAATCCCACTGTTCCGTTGTTTGTTTGTTTGTTTTTTTTTTTGTTTTTTTTTGTTTTTTTGTTTTTGGTGTAAAATGGTGATCGGGATTGATCCCCGGCATGAAAAAAATGACAAGTGTGTGGAATGTTTGTGGTGTTATTTGGTGTTGTTGTGTTGTTTAAGAATAAAAATAAAATAAAATAAAACAACGGATAAAGAAAATAAATAAAAATATTTGGGGATGTAGAATAAGGAAATATTGATGGAAAAAGAAAATAAAATAAAATAAAATTTTTTTTTTTTTTTTTTTTTTTTGAATAAAAAAGAGAAGATAAAATAAAATAAATAAAGATAATGTTGGGGGCGGTGGTGTAGTTGTTTACGTGTAGCTTTGTCTGGTACTCATGACTTGAGCATTATACAACTCCAAATAAAATAAAGCAAAAGAGGGGGACAAAACCATGTGCTCTGCTTCACCATCTCCAAACAAGAGAGAGAAAGAGGGAAATACTGGCTTTCAAGAACAAGCCGCCCACCCCAGTTGAGGCCATACAAAACGAGTTCTCAGCTATTCACCAGTCCAAACCCACAAAGATGTTTACACAGTATGAGCCTGCCCAACCTCCTAGGAATGATGGTGGTCTCTCTACTGCATTCTCTCTAGCAGAAGGAGAAGCAAAGGTGATCATGTGAGCCAAAGTAGGAATGATGTAGACAGTGAAGCTGACGAGAAGAGATCCAACAGTGGAGTTGATAGGACCAAAGAAAGGGAAGATTATAGCAAGGAACCAAATAGGGATGACCACAGGAAGCCTAGAAAGAGCCCTCTGGCACATACTCTTGCACTCATGCATTCCTATGAACTTCTCCCACACAAAATACAGTGGTGTGCATGCAAATCCAAATGTTATGAACTGATGAATGAGGATGACAGCAGTGTCTCTGAAACCAGTCCTTGGGAGCCGTGAATCGAGCTCCGTTGACGGTGGATTGCGAGGAGAAAGCGGGAGTTTCGTCGACGAACAGTACAATCTCGAGCGTGAGCGGGAAGAGAAGCGAGAGAGAGGCCATTGGAGACTAGCACGAGATCGAGAGGGCTTGTTGGCGTGGAATCAACGACGAAGAAGATGGAGATAACTTCAGGAAGAAGCTTCGGCTCTCGAAAGATTAGTCGGCTGTTCTTTAAAGAGAGCTTCATGAAGATGCATGTTGGGGATGCCCTTGATGACTGGGAATCGACGGCCTCATCTCTGTGTGTGTGTCATGCCCATCATTGTTGCAGACATGGTGTTCGACGAAATGTCCCAGAGGGATTTTGGGTGTGCTTCGGCGAGGTGATGAAAGAAGAGTGAAGGTATGTGTAGAAAATTTTAGTAGACTAGGTTGAGGTCCGGCGGGCGGCTAAGGTGAGGTTGCCGCCCGCCGGGGAACCGAAAATATTAGGTTCTAAACCTACTCTGATACCATGTAAAAATATATGTATTATTGATTGATGAATGTTGATATCTATGTTACAAATGGTGAGTGGCTCATTATATAGGAGAGGGTGAGTGTAGTAGGTGAGGAGTAGGTGGTGGTAGGTGATGGTAAATTGGTGGTAGGTGATGGTAAATTTTAAGGGAGGTTAGTATGTCTTGCAGAGCTGCATAAACATCCTACAAAAGACCTATGGAAACTAGGTTCCGTGTCTCTGGAGAACCATAATTTTTTTGTCATTTTTCATAATTTATTATCTTTCTTGCATGTATATTAGCATTTTTCAGTTTATTACTATGAATGTGAACTGTAGATAATGATCATATTTTGTGTGTATAAGCCAACACCTCCATAAACACTATATATCCACGCTTTACGTATCCGAATAGTTTACACTGTTCTTGTACAACTAAAATTTTCAGGCACGGACGAATTCAAGCGACTCAACTAACCAAGCCAAAAGACGCACCATTAGCTTGAGGCTGGCGTTGAAACCAAATAGAATGTTTGACACTTTTAAACAAAGAACATTCATAGATTGTACGCGACAAAGTCAGGAAGCTCCATACAATCCAGGTGGAAAGGCTGTATCAGAAATCCCATTTGATGTGGTGATTTGAGTAAAATAATCAATATACAAGTTTTACCTCCTTTATATTACAAACTACATGAAAATGCACTGAAATGAAAAATTGAAGGAAAGACAATTTTTTTCACAAGCCTTAAAACTCGCAGCATATTCAAGAACCAAGAGAATAAAGCTCATCTATAATTCCTTCAGTTCCACATAAGTGACATTATGATTTCCTACCAGAAACAACCATTTCTTCACTGGAAAGATGTTTTGATCTTCCGAAGTGCATTGGTTTCTCTTTTTTAGACTTAATATACATAAAGATAGGGATAATATGTTCTATTGATTCCCCATGGGTAGCATCATTCTTTCTAATAAGGACGGCAACAGTAACACAATCAAAATAGATCAAGCATCCACCTGACCAAATCATTTTCACCATGTAACCATTGCATGCCCATTCAAATAGTCTTACAAGATGTAGAAAATATTAAATAGAATATTCTAATGAGTTTGATCATCTGCATGCTTTTAAGAAAACATGATAGGATATGGAGTGAATCAGTTGTATGTTTTCAAATACTGTAGTAAAGATGAATGAGCTCACAACTTTGCATTCCAATTACATAAAGAGCTCTCATACCTTCGGGAATGTCACATGCAACTATGGCAATTTCAGCAAGAACCCATAAGATGAAGTTTGGCACCCTTGGATATTCAGCTCTACAATGTTCTGCTAAATGCTTTCCTATAATGTAAAACATGTAAAATGAAAATATGAGGATATCAGTAATAGTGATTTGGAAACAACTGGGTGCAGTGCATACAGATAAAGATTGGTTGATGAATTGATCACATACCAGTGACCACCCCCAGGTTTGCTGCAAGAGATTGAATAATGAGAGCAGCACATGAAGCCACTAATATAATCCAAAGCAACTGAAAAACAGAGAACGTCCATGAGAAAGAGTGGTATGACCTCAAGACGCCAAATTTCAAGTTAATACACAAACATGGACATTAACGAGAAAAGATTGGAAAATAAATATATATATTTATAAGAATCACACAATCTTGAGTATGTGCTCTCAGCCTCTCACAGATATGGATGATTAAATTTCTATCAGTGTCATAGATGTACAGCATTTCCAACTGTGCAGAGTCCATAATTGGATGGGTCACATTGGAAAGATCCTCTGAGCGACAAATCAACTTATCCAAATGTGTAACCATCCACAATCAGTTACACAGCATTCTTTTACGTAAAATTGAAAATGAGTTTGACCAAAAACATCAATATAGGTCAAATGGGTCAAAAGGAGTATCAACATGCAGTATATTATGTTACTCCCACTCAATTTTTAACAGTTAGGCATTCCTTCAATCTCCTGCCACCTAGGAAGCATAGACACTTCAAAATGGGAGCCATGTCCATGTCTGTTGGACAGAGAACACTAGGGGCAAGCATGTCCACGAGGTGTATCAATTTTTTTAATTATTATTTGTTTGTAGGACACTCCACGGACACGCGTGTCTTGTGTACATTTGGACACGCTTCAGGACACCTTTTTGAGTTTTTTTTTTTTTTTTGAAATCTAATTTAGGGTAAGTAAAATATATGAAAACAAGAATGGGGCAAAGTGCAAGAAACTAAAATACACCTACATATACATTGATGTCTTTTATATCTCTGTGCCCTAAAGGTACACCGACATATACATTGATGCGTTTTATATTTCTGTGCCCAAAATTATATTTATTTATATACATAGCAAACATAATTATATATAATATATAAATAATTCTTCCCGTTTTCCCGATTGATCTGTATCCTAATTTTTCAAAATCCGTGTGACTGTGTCTGTATCCATGTTGTGTCCATACTTCTTAGCTTACCATACTATATCAAAACATTCAAGTATTGTTTAATCTCGTATTACATAAATCTCCACAGAGAAAAGATATATGTACCTCATATTTGTACTGTGCTCCTGCCTGTAAGTCGGTTTCAACTGTAAATGAACCACATTACGTGAGTGAGTGTATGACGGTAAAGAGCTAAAGAATAATGGTATTGTAAAACAAACTAAGAAAGAGTAAGTCTTACAATTTCCAGGATCTATATATGCAATAGAAACAAGAAACCCAGGGCCAATGTATGCAAACAAGTTTCTCCAGCTTTTCTTCTGCATATATAAAAAAATAAAACTCCATCAATTAACCAATTCCCACTGCAATTACAAAGCTAATTTCCAATTAGATCTTCAGCAGTTGATCCCAGACATAAACTCTTCTTTTAAAAAAAAAGAAGCACATTCATCAAATTCATCAAGTTTAAAAGCTGTATGCCAACGAGACACCCAGGAGACATCAAATTGATGGAACTTTTTTTTCGTTCTAAAGCTGCAAGCCACAGTTCTTGAATCCATCTGGAAACCAATGAGTGAGTTATCTCAAAGAGACAAAAGAAGGTGGAAGAGTAGCTGATAAAAAAATTATGTTTTGCATCAAAAGGTTAGACAAATCGACAATCATTATGGATATTTACATTCAACCTACTCATGATTCTTACAACTCTTATGGCCGGATTCACCAATGCTAAAGCAACTTACTTCAAATGTTGTTCCACCAAATTTAGTACTACACTATAAAATCACATAGAACCTATGAATCATGGATATGGGTAGTGCGGGTGTAGGTGCAGGTGCGGGTGCGGCGATACGGTAAAATCCAAAAAAAAAAGTAGGGTATGGATACGGCTTGGTATGTTTGTAAAAAAATATTTATTTTTAATTTAGAGTAATGCAAAAATTGATTAAATGGTTTAATTTGTTAAGATCCAACATACAATTAACATTTCATTGCAAAAGTAAAGGTGTAAATCAAAATTAAATCTCAATATATTAAATAACTTACAAATCATAGCTTAATTTTAAAATCATACTAAGCATAAAACTAAAAATAAAAAAGAAGTCTAGTGAAAGGGATTTTATCTATGTAGTAGAAGAAAACATGGTTTCAACTCAGGCAGGTACAACTTGAATATATACTAGTATGTCTAAATACACCAAAAATTAAGAAGAAAAAATTTGGGTACGTGTTTCGTGCACCTAGTGGGTATGCATATCAGTCAATCAGTTTTTCTCTCACAACTATCTATTCAACTGAAAAAACAATTTCAAACTCACTAACTTTTTTCACCTTGTAAGAAAGTCAAAAAGCCACTAAAAAGGCCAAGTTGCCAAATATCAAGTAAAATTATGGAAATAGTTTACTGCCAATATCATATGGGTAGGAATCTAGATAGGGCATGTTTGGAAGCAAAGACTCCAAATTAAACTTTCACATGGAATCACCAATCATGCCACGAGTTTCTTACACACCTTTTAAGGCTCTAGCAAGTGTGCAACATATAACTCCCAAAAGAAGAACAATGATGCTTTCCTTGAGAGGTCTTGAAGGTCCATTAGGTTGTGTTTGAATCATGGATTTGGGTAGGGCTTCGGAAAGGGAAAGGGAAATGGTGGTCTAAAAGGCTACCCAAATCCATGATCCAAACACAGCCTCGTAGATTTGAAAAATCTTGCAACACTTCCATAATGAAGCCAATCATCCTCCATACTATACCAAGTCCTAATCTTCCCAACCTCCCATATCAGAAAAAAGGAAAAAGAAATTTTTTACCACTCCCATTTTTCTCTCTCAATGACTAATTTAGGGTTTACTAAAAACAAAAAAATCAAACACACCGATCCTTGATGCTAGCTTTTAATCAATCCAAACAAAATCTCATTTGAATTTATTTCAGATTGATTAACCAGTCATTATATTGAACTCGACCCTAGGCCCACAAATTTCGAATTTATATTTGAAAACAGAGAATCAGAATGTAAATATTGAAGAGAGTGAGACTCACATCAGGTACAATAATCTGATCGGACTCCACATTCTCAATCAGAGGCTCATTCGAACGACTCCGATTCCCAGTGCTAGCGATGAATTGCGGCTGCTCAGACGCCATTTAAAGTCACTGTAGTACTCTGTTCCAAATGAGACATTGAAATTTCGAAGCTCTATACAAACACTTGTAACCGAAACACGAATACACGTACATGCAGTTATAATATGTGTGTGTGTGTGTGTGTATGCAAAATATATGATCTAACAGGTGAAAACAGAGTGAAATGGAAAATGAAGAAAAATTACAGGGAAAATGATGAGAAAATTGATGGGAATGAACGAACCTTTGGTACTGGACCTTGAGTTGTAGTAATGGCGAGAGTGATTGAAGAAAATGAACGTTAACAGAGTGTTTCCTCCACTCCCTCTTCCTCTCCCTCCCTCGTTTCACTCCTGTTGATGTGTGGAGTTGTTCTTTATTTTCCAAATCCAAGTGGTGTTTATAATACGCAACTTAAAAAAATATACTATAAAAAATAGAAATCATAGAATTGGTCACAGGACTTTATAAAATATGTTAGCCTCACAAAAATAAAATCATAATGATAAATATTTTTTTTATTCAAAAAACGTCAGGAAGAAAAAATGTATTTGTATGCCATGTCGCATTTTACATCTAAAATTCGACCGGAGTTTGTTTTAAAAATAAATTTTAAAAAATTTAAATATTTAAAGGTTAAAGTGAGAGAAAAAAATATTTGAAAAGTCAAAGTAGAAAAATCTTATAACCTAAGCGGATAAAGTGTAATTTACTTAAATATTTTTGATCTCTAAAACATTTTCAACTAGAGTTTTCGGGCTCGTTTGGTTTGATTTTCTGAAAAAATTTTGGAAAATTTTCTCTACAAATAAGTTTTCAAAAATAATCAAACCAAACAAATTTTCCCAAAAAAATTTCTCAAAACTTGTAAACCAAACAAGTTTTCCAAACAAATATCTCTCTCTCACATATCAAATCAATCACTTTTTCCAAAACTCTATCTCAAAATAATTTTCCAAAACATCTTTTAAAAAAAACTAAACCAAACATGTTTTCGTACTTTTTATCTCTAAAACACATCTCTCAAACACAAACCAAACATACCCTTCATTTCCACACATCATTTCCTCAACCCACACCTTTTTTTAATTTGAAAATCAACTTAAACTACACATATTTATATTTTTAAATTAAAATTAAAATTTTTATTTTTAAAATTCAACAACACATTAGGTAGGCAGACACCACTAGCATGCATTAAAGTGAGAGAAAAAACATTGTGCTGTTTTATTTATCATTTAATTGTTAGAGTTTTAGTGGGATAAGGTTGCTTGTTTTCAACCCGAAGAGAAGATTGGATGAGTTGGTAGGATAAGGGGGTGCGTGATCAAAGGTCTTGAATTCGAAATCTATACCAACCTCTTTATAATAGTCTTACTTCACTATTAATTCCAATCTTCTCCTTATAATCCCAAACAAACGGAACCTATAACCCTTGATTGAAATTGGGGGTTAAGGGTAGGTTCCTTAACATTCTCCTCGAATTAATTTGTAAGATCGGGTCATAAATAGGCCCAGCCTTAGGCTACTCGGTCAAAAAAAAAAAAAGGAGTGGCTTGTTTTCCAATTTCAATGTCTAATTTTATTTTTATATTATTTTTGAGGTCAAACATAATCTCATTTCAAACACATATTTTCAAGCATAATTTTAAACGAGTCTGGCTTTGGTCCAGTCCATCATTGGATTGGACCGTGCTGTTGGGCCCGTGGAGCCCACCACGGGTTCCCTTTTGAAAATCTGAACCGTCAATGTGTAGAACTCTTTGAATACTATATGCCTATAAAAAATCACGTTGATCGGATATCGATAGCTATGTGATCAGATCAGTTTTTTTTTCAACCGTTAATTTATTCACCGTCCTTTTTTTATACAAAACTGATTTGATCACATAGTTATCGATATCCGATCAACGTGATTTTTTATAGACATATAGTACTCGAAAAGTTCTACACATTGAACGGTTCAGATTTTCAAAACAAAACCCGTAATGGGCCCCCACGAACCCAACAGCACGATCCAGTCCAATGGTGGACTGGACCAAAGCCAGACCCATTTTAAAAATAGTTTGAGTTTGAAAATAAGTTAAACAGTATAAAATAAAATTTCAAGTTTCAACCATTAGTTATATGATAAATATATTTATAGAATGTTTATTAACAATTAATAAAATGATGTGATAGTGAAATTTATGAAATTATAGTAAATATTTTTATTGAAAATGAAAAGGATACAACGATCCATATAAGAAATAGATAGAGGTTTTTTAGAATAGTTTAATCTAGTTGCATTGGCCTATTGGCTAATCACGTGACTATAATCCAGTAGTCTAGCTAAATACATAAGAGAGATAGAGACGTTAGACTTTTAAATTTTAATTAACTAAAATAAGAAATAGATAGAGTTTTTTCAGAGAAGTTTAATCCAGTTGCATTGCCCATTGGCTAATCATGTGACTATGATCCAGTAGTCTAGCTAAATACATAAGAGAGATAGAGACATTAGACTTTCAAATTTTAATTAACTAAAATAAGAAATAGATAGAGTTTTTTCAGAGAAGTTTAATCCAGTTGCATTGGCCTATTGGCTAGTCACGTTATTTTAAGAGATTTATTTATAAAAAATAGATGACAAATATGATTTTACAGGAGTCTAGCTATTTTTTTAAGGTAAATTTGATGAAATTACATGACTATAATTATTGAATATGATTTTTTTTTTAATTTTATCTAAACAGAGGGCAATTTAAATAAATAATTGACGTCATTGAAATAAGACCTTGGTGGTGGAACTCACAGTCGTAAGTAGATCATATTGACTTTTCTCTAACCGGTGTAAAGTATATATATATATATATATTTTTTTTTCTTTTTCAAATGACAAAGTCACCTTATGATATCATTTTTTTTAATTATTATTTTGCAATACTTTCATTGAAATAATGAATTTCAAGCTTCTCATAAGTATTTCCAAGTATTCACAAATAAACTTAACGTCTTTTAAGAAAAAATATTTCACTCGCAATAACAAAAATCAAAATCTCAAATTTGATTAACCAACCTCACCAACTATTTAGAATTTTTTTTCCCTTTTTTTTTTCAAATTGTGGTAATATTTTCTCAACCCATATTATTGCAATTAAGCCACAAATCCTAGTTGAGCAATATCACACATAGAATGCATTAAAAAACAATGAATAAATAAATAAGTAGAAGAGCATCAAATTTCGTAGAAGTGATTCTATTGATCGAACCATACTCCAAAGAAAATATTAAAATCACGTTTTTCTTAGCTTTTTCTTTTTTTCCTTTTTTTTATTCCTATTAGATTTTAAAATGAGGTTAACCTGATCAACAAGGTCACTAACGTCAATTACTTGGGCAAAGTAAAATTATAATATTAACGAATATTCGTAACTTCAGCAGTATGAGCTACCTCTGTGATGTGATTAAATCGAAACATTCATTTTCAAATGATGACTTTTAATTTTAAAATAATTCTTACATTTTATTTAATTTGTGTGTAACTTTTTTTATAAAAAAATTAGTGATACCTCCCTCAATATATATCACATGTCAATAATGACGCAGTATTACTATTATATTAAATTTTTACTCATATTTGCTATAAAAAATTACTTTATGATTATATAATTTATTTTAAAACTTATATCCATAACTTTTTTTTTTATATTGTCTATGATAAATTAGTTACAAATAACATTATTTTTAAAAAATTTTCTTGAAGTGAATCGTAAAAATTTATGTGAAATATTTTTGTAAAAATTTTTAATGTTATAATTAATTAGTGCCCCATTTGATTTAATTTCTTGGTTCCGCCACTGATTATTATTATTATTATTTTTTTACATATATTTGTAAAAATTGAAAATATGATTGAAAAGAGTACACCAAACATATGGATAAATATGGTCGACAGTTTCAACAATTCTTCAAAAATTGCATTAGTCATCAAATTCTTATCTTTAGAAAGAAAAAAAATGTAGTGGTAGATGAATTCCCATAATTCTAGGGTTTGACTTCCTTCCAATCCATGATATAACTGAAGGGTGTTGTTGGGTCCGTGAGATTCATCACAAGTCTTTTTTTAATAATCTGAACCGTTCAATGGCCCTGTTTGGTAGAGCTGTGGGAAAGTGCTTATAGCTTATACCTTAACAGCTTATGGCTTATAACTATGAATATAAGCTGATTTCTGACTTATAAATTAAGCTTCTCTTGCCACACTCAAAGAATAAGCTGATTTCTGACTTACAAAAAGCTATAAGCTGCATTGTTAAGTTAAACCAAACACATCAAAATAGCTTAAATTAAGCTGAAAGCTGAAATAAGCTGAAAAAAAACTGTACCAAACAGGGCCAATATGTAGAACTCGTCGAGTATTATATACCTATAAACAATCACGTTGATCGGATACCGATAGCTATGTGATCAAATGAGTTTTGTAGAAAACAAAATAGACGGTGAAAAAATAAACGGTCGATAGAAATCTGTTCCAATGAAATAGTTATCGATATCTGATCAATGCGATATTTTATAAGCATATAGTACTCAATGAGTTCAACAAATTGAACGGTTCAGATTATCGAAACGAGACTCATGGTTCCGATCACGGACTAAAAAGAAACTAATCCCTTCTTTTAATAACCTCTTTTGGTTAGCAAATTAGAACTAGTTAGATCATAAAAAATGATAATAGTCCCAACTGATTTACTAAAAAAAATTCGAAGTGTATATTTCAATGGCGGCTGCATATAGTACTGTCGATTTTTCTGCCTTGACTTTCTTGTATTAGAGGGCTGTATTTGTCCAAAGTGTTCGTCTAAGTGTCCATTCGCCAAAAGGTATTCTCTCTCTTTCGTTGCATACAACAACATAGAACAAATATTCATTTGGGTTTCTCTATAAATATTTATTTGCAGCCCAACATGGAAGACTGTCTTTATGATAATCTCGTTTCTCTAAACCCAAGAGATACATTGATCAACATCTTCAATGGTGCAGCTCAATATATGGAATGGCCAAGCATTTTGGATACGGATTTTCTTTTGCTGTTTTTTCGAGAACACACTAACATTTAAAAAGCCACTCAAGTTAAAATTTTAGCCCTAAATTTGAAAATAAAAACCAAATTTTGTAATTAGCCTTCAATTTTCCAAATGTTATCCATTAATTGAAAATTTTACTATGTTGAAAGCAGTAAAACTTCATAAATTTTTTTTCCCCTATTTTAGAACAGAGAAATTTCAAATTTGTCATTTTCAAGGGTTCAATTTTATATTTTTAGCTCTATATTTGAAATTAGGCAACCATTTTATTTATTTATTTATTTTTTTGTAATTAGCCCTTAATTTTTAAATTTTTAGCCTCAATTGAAAATTTCACTA